TTGAGAAAGGAATAAGGGTTATAATAAATTGGCTTGACAAAAATATTCTAACATTAAATCTAAGTAAGACTAAATATTTAACTTTTTCAATATACAAAAATAATCAACCTAAGCCTGATTTTACAATAAGAGCCCATACCTGTTCCCAATATGAAAATGGAAATTGTGGCTGTGTTGTTCTCTCTCCTACAGATAATATTAAATATCTGGGTATTATAATCGACAAAACTTTAAACTGGAAACAACACATTGACTCATTAAAGTGTCGAATTCGTAAACTCATACCAATATTCAAGAAAATTAGTTTATTAAGAGACGATAAAACTAGTAAAATAGTCTATTTATCTTTATGTCAGTCTATTATTACTTATGGAATTTCAGCTTGGGGAGGAGCAAAGAAAACCATTCTGATCAAATTGGAACGCGCCCAACGATCTATCCTTAAAGTTCTAAAATTTAAGCCATTTAGATACCCCACAACAGAGTTATACCGTGAGCTTACGGTGCTAACAGTACGCCAGCTATATATAAAAAGAATTGTTATAAAACAACACTCTCACCCAATTAACTTGGATAACTCTAAAAGATTAACACACAAAGTATACAAAGTACCCACATGTAAAACTACTTTTGCACAAAGCTTTTTTAATTTTCTTGGACCATTACTTTATAATCGCATTAATAAAAAAGTATTGTTAAACAATAGAAATAAATATGACTGTAGAAGGACACTTCAAGATTTTTTACTGAAACTTGACTATACCGGCACTGAGGAAGTTATTGCAGTTACATAATAGAACAACATTACAATACAATAACTATCATACATACATATATATACATACATTTACAATATGATGTAATATATTATAATATAATGTAACTTAGTATAGTTTAATCTATACTAATATAATATTTTATCTATATATAATTACTTTATACTAATATAAATATATAGGATAAATACTTATCTTGATATATGGAGCATGAATTAGAAATTTTATCTTTAGGTTTTCTTTTCTTTAACATAAATTCATTAAAAAAAATACTTAAATTATCTGTATCGTTAACATATACTGTAATAAGTTATTATTACATTCAAAAGAATGTTGCCGGCTGACGATCCCATTGTATTATAAAAACCGTTTGATATGCCATTTAAAAATGAGCCCTATTCATATAGTGCGAGATTCTTACCTTGCCGTAACACAGTTATCTAACTAGCACGGGAGGTAATGATTTTTAACTGTATACCCTCAAAAATATTTGTTTTGTTTTATATAGTTTATAAATAGTAAAATTAACAAAAGTGAATAAAATTAGATTAGATTAGATATCACCACATGATGATTTAATTATAATGAATTGTTATACATGTATATGAAATGTTAATTAAAGCAAGATATTCTTAGTAGATATTAAAATATAACCTGTAGTGTTAAAAAAAAAAAAATAATAATAATATACCTATTTTAAAGATTTATCCTGGCAGTTTCTTTCTATCAATTACTATCAATGAGGATGTTGATATCGTAAGATAAAATTAATATGTTATTTTTAAGTTTAAGGCACAGAAATAGATTTATGACATAAAACTAAACTTACTACGTTACTACATAATATGGTCAACAGTCGAACTGTATACATTAGTACATTCATAATATTTTTCATACTACAGTACTGTAGATAGGAATAGGAACGTAATGTTTTCATTTAAAAGCCTATCTACTCTGTGCTTCCTTACGAACTCTTTTTGGAATGGAAAAGCAAAAAGCAACTGAAACGCGCGCATTTAAAGGCTTATGCACGACAAGCGGAAAAACGTTTTCTCTCTGACTTTGCATAATTTCTTTCTCACGAACGTAGAACTATGAAAAAATAACTATATGTGATGTATAAAGGAGTATATCTAATATATGTGTGGACACCTACTAACCATATATTACTAAAATAAATATTACTAAATTAATAGTAGTTTCTTAAACTATTTTATTCAATATCACTAATTATTTTGAGGTTCGACTAATTACAATGCTATTATCATTATAAGTCCACGTATTGTTCTGTATAGATACTGCTTTCTAATTAATATTAGAAATAAAGACACCATTATATAATATAATAATGTATATGTAGATAAGTATTATAATTACCTAATTTAGTGTATAATTTTCTTAGAAACGTTACATTTTAAATAGATTATAGCAAAGAATACTCGTTGTCGCTATTTTATATTATGTTATAGTAAATTCTAATATTAATGATTTTTTTGCATGGGCGACCTCGGTGGTCTAGCGATTTAGCACACGCTTTACGACCGTCGGTCGCGGGATCGGGTCGCGATTTCTCGCACGGCACAGACATTTGTATTCATGAGCATGATTGTTTGTATCGGTCTGGTTGTTTTCTATGTATAATATGTATGTATTTACAAAAAAATATATCTATGTTTATGTATCAGTTATCTAGTACCTATACACAAGCTTTAGCTAGCTTAACTTGGATCTAGATGGCGCGTGAATTGTTCTGAGATTATTATTATTTTGCAACCCTGGAGTATTACTCCGATATATATATATATATATACGGATCGGAAAGTGAAGAAAGGGCTTTTGATGCCCTATCCTATGCTGGTGGGGATTGGGAATACTAATTACTGACCCCACTGGGATAAGTCCTACTCCATCCTGTAATTTATCATTAATTTCTATTTTAATTTATCCTGATTTACTGAATTAACTTTTTGAAATAAACTGTATTTATCTTAATAATGTGTATTTATTAAATGAAAAATATAGATTCATAACTACTATTGGTATCTAACAAATGCATGTGGATAAAATAAAAACTACGTACCAATACGTAGTTTTTATTTTAGGTAGGTACTTTGTAACACCCTCTGTGTATACTTAACTAATGACGCATTGAATTGCAATGCTGAAAGCTTATCCCAAGCTGACGGTATCTATCACGAACAAAGGGACAAAAAAGACGGCACAAATCTTCTTTATGCCAATCGTGTTCCCGGCTTTGAATGAAAATGCAATGAAGCCAGCGAGCTAAGCGCTGAATCAATAACAACGCGGTTGAAAATATTGCCAGCTTCTATTTATTTATCTATTCCATTTATAACCATCGGGATAAAAACTAAATATTGGCAGGCATAGACTTATATTAGATAAGTAGTATACCTATAGGTACACATAAAGCATCAGTAGGTGTATGTTGCAAATGATGTAGGTAGACTATTATATTCTTGGACCCTCTTATTTCCAATGGATTATTAATAGGACATGGTTTCTATTCCACAAGTCGTACGAATTCGTAAATATATCTACATATAAAATACATAGAAATTGGATCCCGCGCAATTAGACGTGTTGTTAATGAACGAGACTTATGACAATGGCAAAGCAGAGCAGAAAAAGAAATATAATTTGTGATTTAAGCGAAAGGGGTAAGATATAAACAAAATAAAGTAAAACTATGTATATAAAGCAGAAACCAAAAAAAAAATCTGAATAATTGATAGACCGTAGAATGAGATGCAATAATAAGTTACATGTACATAGGTAAATGTTTACTCCACCACAGTTAGCTGGCACTACACGGGATCGAACCTCACCTCAGGTAAGATATAGATCTCTATTTGAATGGAAAAACGGGCAGATCAATGAAACGGGGGTTAAATTTAACCATCTTTAAACAATATAAGATTGGTAATGATTAATATTATCTGTTTGAAATGGTTTTATCGTTTTGTTTATCGTTTAATGGTTTTATAGTACATGAGACATATTATTAAAAAATACATATGTAAGTATTACTATACTGCAGATAGACATCTATCTGCAGTATAGTAATACCTACCTACATCTAGATTATTACCGTCTTATTTTATTTATGATCATTATACATCCGTAAATTTGTAAATTTAAATGCATAGTTAGGTGCTAAAATATATAGTAGGTACCTACCAACTGCGAAATCCTTATATCCCCGGTAAATTAAAGCCAGTAACTTGACATAAATTGTCACAAGACACTTACCGCTCACATTAAGGTCTGCATAGCCCACAAGTTTAATATTATGCGAAGAAAGATCGCTCCAGGGGCATCCTGTAAGCACAATGACAAGATAAATTCCTAGGGTCGCATAGACAAATGTTATAAAGGGTATCATTTTGGAGTAAGCACTTCATTAAACGTAAGGATGGGTTGAGGTTAGCACATTTTCTACTAGAAATGTAGGTACAATATTATTATATTTATAACGAGAACTATATTGTTATATCTCTAAGATACCTTAGCTAGTTTACACGACATTTGTTACTACTTTACGTAAGCAAGCTGCGATACGTCAGTGTATAAAAATATTTTTATGATGCAATGAAAATATTTTACGTCTATGATGACGATAGATGGCCATCACATGCTTTGCTGGTGGATAACCAATGCATAGGATGACGATGAAGTCAGTCAGATCAGTTGTATTATCAATCATCATAACATTCCTTCTGCGAATGTTATGATGATTCATGATGATGATGATTGATAATACAACTGATGTGTGTTAGTGGAGTCGTAGACAGAACTATTACAAGTGTAGGTACCTACACTTGTAATAGTTCTGTGTAGACTAATCTGACGGTATAATCCATACTCATTACCGTCATTGAATAAAACACAGCTATAGTTTTTGTTAGTCTACAATCTACGTATTGTATTCTCGCTTTATTTATTTTAGCTTGCCGATAGTGTATTCTAGTTTATATTTTGTTTCCTACAAGGGAGCTCAAATATTCCTGTAGTTCAAAATGTAATCAAAGACGAAATAAATAGCGACCAAACTCAAAATCTTATAATTCTTCTCTTAGTAGGATCATTTTATGATACCAAATCCACTTTGAAATCTATATCACGACTGAAATAATGTCAATGTGACATTGACAATTTATTAAAGTGAATGCCATACCTAAGTCTACTCTGTGTCCAATCGTGGTACAATCTCTGTGTGTACTGTACTGTTTATCGTAAATAAATAGGGTTCGATTTCTAGTACGGCTTCTTTGATACTTAGATATTTGATTTATTAGTTTAAATTTGTTTTGACTATCACAATATTTAAATCAGCATAATGAAAATTTCTGAGGTATGGGGCCTTATTTATATTTAGACTGTATGAAATTTTGAGGTTATCACATAACAACTTAATGTTTTGGTAGCTATGATTTGATTTCAGGTCATTACTGTATTTTTTCTGTTTATTCTTAATTGCAGCTGGGATTGTGATATAAATAATATGTCAATACAAATGTCTACCATAAAAGAAAACTTGTGTTTTTATGAAAACATTAAAAATATTATTAAATGTCCTTTCTATTTCTAATTCTTCAATAATGTATGTAGGGATATTATTAATTTATTAATAATTAGACAATTTACACAACACCTTTAGTCTCATATTAAGCGCATTATAGGTACTTAACAACTGATATAAATACTTAGATACATTTTTTTGTAAATATGTACATAATATACATGAGCCACTCACCCAGACTGATGCAAACAATAATATTAACGTTGAAGTGTTTGTACCATGTGATAAATGAAACCCACAATCATCTGTAGCAAAGTGGTGTGCTAAATTGCTACACCACAATGGCAGAAACATTGATTTTAATATAAAATTATGAACATTCTTTTACAGCTACCCGGTGATGAAGACTCCGGACTGACAAATCGTACATATGTCTTCCAAAATGAGAGCCACACACTAGGAAATTCTTTGAAATGTATCATCTCCAGATAGTAAATATCTCATGTATTTATTATATAACATTTTATTGCAATATTAATATTTCAGTAATCTCTTCAATGTTCATTTTGGCATCATGTAGAAAGGTATAAATGTGAGGGTGCAACACAGACATTCAAGTAGTGCAATTTACCAATTTCATTCCTATTTTTATTAAATTAAAAATATCATATAAGCTCCAAATAACATGTAGTGCATAAAACATATTTATATGTATGAAATTTTTAATACTCATCCATAGCCTTAACTATTACAATCCCTAAAGACTTCATGTAGGGCCTTTCTCTTCAATCAAGAATGTATACAATATTGTTATACAGGCTCTCTTTAGACTAATGCATAATTGTCGGATATACCAACAATTATGCATTAACATACATGACCACTTTAAAACAGTGTAGTATTGTCTGTTTTGCATGCAAAGGCCTTGGAGTTTCAGACGGTAAATGTTTACATTGACCATCAGATTGTACTTGTTTGTAGTAAAAAAATATATTTATGCAATTCATAACTTGTAGATAAACTACAAATTAAAAATTACCCACTTTTGTGAGTTATGATAACTATATATTATTAATTATAAGTAAAAATCACTCAAAACTACTATTTGTTTCAGTGAAGATGTTCAGTTTTGTGGGTATACAGTCCCACATCCTGCTGAATCAAAAATGCATTTTAGGATCCAAGCTAAAGAAACACCTGCATTAGAAATATTAAAACGAGGCCTGGCTGATCTTGAAAAAGTATGCGATCATACACTAGAATTGTTTGAACAGGAAGTAAAAGAATATCAAAATAGTTAATATTTGTTGTTTTCTTTGTCCTTTTTGAATCAGTCCCTTTGATAAAGTAGTACTCCAAGTTGTATTTTTATTGTACATAATGACGGAAATCTGTCATTGCGGCGAAGTGCAGCAATACAAGAAGTTAGTAACCTTAATATGGTACATTGGTCAGATAATTATACAAAAATAAACACTTCTAGATACTATTGCCAGGAAAAAATTATCTCTAGCCAATGTGAAGGATGAGGATAATTAAATAGTAACAGACTATCAAATTCACCTAGTGGAAATTTCAAGTTTGTAATTTTGTCACATATAGGTCAGGATAAAAGAAATTTTTAAATAGTTTAAATAAGATGCAGCATGCAAATATGAATTTAAAGCTCAAAGTATTTATCTAAAATACTTTTATGCCCAACAAAAGTAATGGTTCATGATAAAGAACAAGCATGTATATTTGATTAAATACATGCAAGTATATAGATAGAATGGAGATTACAATATTTTTATAATTTAGAACAAAATATTTATGGTTTTTCTGTTTACTATAACCATCATAGTTATCAGAGCAGACCAGTCCCTTCAAGCGAATTACCTAAAGCATTATGGCATACTATAACATATATTAATACAGTATGATTTAGCATATACTAAATATGTATAATTTTGTCATAAGAAGATATTTAGACATCTTGTATGTATATCACTTTACCTTCAAAAAAGTATAGTTAAAAAATTAAATAAAAAACAATAAAGATGTTAATTTTTTAATTTCACATTGAAATGTCTTTAAACTTTGAATTCCGAGTATGGAGACTTGGTCAATGGGATATCACGCCATAAGTCAGGAGTGAGGTATGCATAGGTCTTGGCAATGGCAGCATAAGTAGCTTTAGCGAAATTGCCAAGAGTTCCAGTGGATCCACGAGCTGAAGTGTAGCAGTCCTGTACTCCTGCCATTTGAAGTAACTTCTTTGGGACTGGAGCAGATACAATACCAGTACCACGGGGGGCTGGGATCAGCCTTACAGTGACAGAACCACACTTGCCAGTAACCTGAAAGAAGAAATGTTTTATTAATGACTATTCTAATACAATTGTTAATAATGTGTCAATAATAAAACATCAGACGCATTAAAAACTTCACAGGGAAACCTCAGAGGATACCACGAATGAAATGATTATCAGTTTTCATCATAAAGTGTAAATGAAAATAACTAAAATAAATTATATAGAGAGAAATTTACCTTGCAAGGAACAGTATGAGGTTTTCCAATCTTATTTCCCCAGTATCCTCGACGAACGGGGAGGACAGACAGCTTGGCAAGGATGATTGCACCTCTAATTGCAGTAGCCACTTCTTTACTGCACTTTACACCCAAACCAATATGGCCATTGTTATCTCCAATAGCCACAAAGGCCTTGAAACGTGTACGCTGACCGGCACGAGTTTGTTTCTGTACAGGCATAATCTTCAAGACTTCGTCATTGAGCGATGGTCCAAGGAAAAAGTCTATGATCTCAAACTCTTTGATGGGTAAGGAGAATAGGTAGATGCTCTCAAGTTTGTCAATTTTCCCTTCACGGACAAGGCGACCCAGCTTAGTTACGGGCACCCATTCTTTCTGATCTTCCTTGCCGCGTCCGCGGCCGCGACCACGACCGCGTCCACGACCACGTGGTCCACCACGGCCTCTATCGCCACCACGTGAACCAAAACCACCGCGGAAACCGCCACGTCCACCGGCTGGAGCTGCGTCCGCCATTCTGAAATCGATTTTTATCACAATTAGATGGACATCATAGTGCTGATGCAAATAAATTTTTAAATAAGTAGAATCAGACGCGTTTTGGCCATCACCGTGTAAACACTATGGTAGATACCACGAATGAAATGAAAATTTAGGTCTCATCATGTAAATCCACGTGTTGAGCACTGCAAAGTTCTAGGTTAGGATAATGAGATTAAAATATGCAATATAAAAACCTAATGTAAATGAGACTATTCACATAGAAATATTTTTATATGAATATTAAAAAGCATTTCGTTGGTAAAAATTATAATTCAATAACTTACGTTGAAACGTGTGCGAAGCGTGAAAGACAAATACAAAATGGCCGAATTAATTTGTCCGTCCGTCAAATTAGGGACGATCGATATTCATCGAAGGGAATAAATATCGATATCAAGAAGACGAATATCGATGATGTGACATCGATATGAATTATTTGATATCATCGATATTTATGAGATTATTACAGAATTGTTTTTTATATGAATATATATTTTCTGATTTCAATAATTTTCCTTATGATGTCTTGGCGTACATCAATGCTTTATTAACAACAATGCCACCTTCTATATTGTCCCTAAATCGATTTTACTAAGTGGTCGATGATTTTATTATATTCTCCTCCTCCATGTATCTTTATGGTTAAAATCATAAAAATACACGGATAGAATAAATGATATGTAATTTAATAAACTAAAAATATTCCATTTTCAAAGATGATGGTTTTATATTGTTATTTTATTTAATAAAAACTGATAATGTAATGATCCCAAATAATTGAAATTGGAACGTAGTGATCACTGGATTTTTTAAGACATATCATGGCATATTATATACTACTATTACCTACCATATTTTATTATCGATTTCAAAGTTTTCTTTTAATTAATGCATAAATTTGCCATGAAATATGAAAATGTAATACAATAGTAACAAATCAAACGTTATACAAGTAGCGCTGTTCATGTATTATTAGTTACCACTTACCATTAGGTAGCACGTCAACTTACTTGCAATTTAATTAAACAAAAATGTGCTTTTTCTATTCAGGGTAACCAAAAATGTAAAATAAAATGTTAGGTAATTTTTCAATCGTTTATTACTTATAATGCCAAGGTTCCATCACGAACAATTAATAGAAACAGGCTCGCACGTCTCACGAGTACTGTCTTGGACAACAAATGGAAATGTTTCTAGTCCATGGCATGCTACACCGTACTCTCCATCCTTGGTTAATGCAATAACGGCACCTGAGAAACTTGGGTAATACGATGCAATCCTATCAATCGCAGTTCGGGCCGCTGCGTTCGGTGAAGCACCTCGTCGCATCTCCTCCACTGCTAGAAAACTGAAATTATACGATTTTAATATATTAAATAGTAACTATTATACGCGACTTCATCTGCACAGAAATTGTAGTTATGTTGAAATTGAATTCAAATCGGAGTTCCAGCGATTATTTAAAGCCTATATTCAGTAGGTATAAAATTTGTTCAGTCTAATTTATATGCATATTTACATTTTGCAGTTCGATTATACACATAGTATATTAAAGATAAAGGTCCCATAAAGTTATTACAAATTATCACCTGGGATTGAATCTCAGCATGACATCTCCATCACCAGTGGCTGCAGCTCCGCCGACGGTATTATCAGCATACGCACCAGAACCAGCTATTGGAGAATCACCAATCCTCCTAAAATATTCCAAATATATATTTTTATTAATGTAACATAAGGTATCAAATACGCATAAAGCCCGTACTATTATATGCAATTTTATTTACAAGTATTTCTTGTACAAGTACTTTAAATATGAAGTAAAATTCTTAGTAACTAAGAAATAATTAATTTAAGTTTTTAAATTAAGCAGCTTAGATATTTCAAATAGTTTAGAAACATATTTTTCATTATATGAATAAACATATGGAGAAAGTCTTTAAGGTTTGTGCCACTTTAAGTCTTAGATATCATGCATATCTTCATTTTCATCCATATCTTTTTGAGACTTAATATTCAAAATTCGATTCAAAATTCTTTATTTAGAAGAACTATACTATTTTAAATCTAATTTATTTAGAACCTAACACCATTTTAAAATTACATTATACAGTTATTGAAGACTCCTTTTAAGCATAAAGATGCCTGTGCCAGGAGGCTCCGCTCTTCCATACCTTATATCACCACTTTTGTAAAATGTTTCTTGTTTATTATACTATAAATAATTAGTTATACAATTCAATTTTAAAGTACATACATTATAGGAAACATTGTATTCAATCTATCTTAAAAATTCTCTCTAATAAATAGGAATATATATACATATGTGTGTGTGTGTGTGTGTGTGTGTGTGTGTGTGTGTGTGTGTGTGTGTGTGTGTGTGTGTGTGTGTGTGTGTGTGTGTGTGTGTGTGGGTGTGTGCGTGTGTTTGTGTGTGAATGTAATCTTGCACAACAGTTTTAGCATTGATAACAATGATGCAGCAGTAATTCAGTTTTATTATAATTTAATGTTTTTATCCAATCTATTAGTATATTTTTACATTCACGATAATTTTTAGGGTACTCTTATGATATGTCAAATCTACCGTCAGTTCGGAATGATATCGAGATGAGAAGAACTGACAAGAAACTCAGCTCGTATTTTTTTTCTTCAAATAATAGTGGAACATATTTATAATAAATATAGTTTTTAAAATTCAAATTTGGGAGAATAGAGTGACCACCAGCATATGCTATCGCAAAGAACAAAAAATTTAATCAGTGTTCACAACCTGAACAGACCAGTCCCCACAAGTAGCACCCGTTCACGAGTATGACGTATGAGCCATCATTGTACTCAACCATATTTGAGGGAGCAACAAACAACCATACTCATGAATACAAATATTTGTGCCATGCGAGGAATCGAACCCGCGACCATCGGACGTAAAGCGGTGTGCTACACCACCACTAGACCACCGAGGCCGTCGATACAAGAATCTTAATTACCCCGGAATCTTAAATTTCACGCCATTAGTAGAAGTACCCGCTGCTACATCTCCATTTTTGTCAACAGCCACCATAGCAATAGTATCGTGGTTGAATTTATCTATTCCCACATTTCTCTTCTGAGGAGTTCTCTGTTTACCTAGTGTATCTAATTTCTTATACGGTCCACAATATTCCTCTGGATTTGGTTCCACATTCTAAAAAAATCAATATTTAAATAAATAGTAATAATTAGATAACTTATACAACCAAATTATAACAACATAGAGCTTCCTAAACTTATTAGATATATATTATTATAATTTGAAGGAATCATCAGTCAAACAACTCTCACAGTGCCAAGCACTTATGCTCTGGTTGAACTATTATCGCGCCAGCTTTTCGTTAGTTATTATATAAATGCCTCTATTAATTACCGTCCAGAAATTTGGTTGACAGTGGTATTCATCGTTCCATTCTACCCATAATTCATTAGAGTTAGGGGTAATAAGGGATTCTTCTTTGAACCCCATTTTCAAAGCAAACTGAGTAGCCTGATCACCAACGAGAATTGAATGCTTGGTATAATCTAGAATGTGCCGGGCAACTGACATCGCACCTTTGACTCTTCGTAGAGCACCAACTGCACCAACATTCATAGTTCTCCTAAAAATATGATAATATAGTCATTAATGGGCACTAGTCGTCATATTTAACTAATATAGAAACTAACCGCCACTTTAGTTTATAACTGATATCAAAACATATTTCTTTTACGCAAAAGGAGAGCCGATTATGTTAAGGACGTACTTTCATATTTCTACTTGTCGATATTTGTACTAGATATTATGTTGTATTTGTCAGTATCATATTATCATACCCATCCATGATGAGCGCATCAAGTGTGGTCTCACCATCTTCATCAGACTTTCCACCAAAGCCAACTGTTCCGGAACACTGCAGTACTTCACACACGGTAGCACCCTCCTCAATCGCATCCAATGCTGAACCGCCTCCGCTTAGTATGTCCCATGCTGAATTGATAATCGGACTGTGTTGTTAACTTAATATATGCACATACAGTATTGAAGGGGAAAGGGTTAATTAGTAATTAAGACCCCTCTAACAAGACTATTACTGTGTCAAGTTTCTCTACTCGATCTATCCTGGAAACCAACGTAGATACGCTCGGGAATTTTCGATTATGTATGAAACATAAGCATAGGACAGTTGCAGTTAGAATTAGAGTAAGGTTTATAACTGACACTGTCAAATAATATATTTTTAATCTTAAAATTATTTGTTGTAAATAATTGATGGCTCGCTAGCGTCGACTATTAGTAGCATAATTATGTATATCATTACAACATATCGCAGTATATCAAGGCCAAAGAAATAGTCGATAGTCATTTCCTGAAATCTTATTTAGTGCCGTAACTGTTTCATTCAAGCTAAACACATTACTCACCAATAATTTTTTAATTGAAAAGAATAATTGGGGGTATTAAGAAAAAAAAAGTTACCTACCTTTAGTTGTAGAATTTTGGAAATTCCATGTAGTAATAACGAAAGGTATATTCGAATCACATCTAAATTCGTAGAAATAAATCGATAGCAAAATAATTACGACGTTCATTATTCTCCACATGTTGTACTTGTTTATTATCTGTTAGATCCAAACTTATCTTATATACTTACCTATGGTAGATATCTTATATTTCACAGCTTATCTGATTTCATCTGGAACATTTTTACTGTCAAACTGTCATACATTGTAGATAATCAGATTGAATAGTAATCCAATAGATGTAACAATGATATAATTTCCTTTAAGTATATCGCCGCGCAATGTATTCGACTTCCCTGAGATTACGTTATATAATCGTCCATATCCTAGTTTACATACTACGTTCTTAAATGTTACTAAATAACATTTTATTATATGTTATTTAATAACATTTGTTATTTAGGAACATAATATGTAACAACTTATACAGGAATACTGATGTATAAGTTAAACAGCACAATTGTTGAATGGATGAATCCATTGAACAGTTGTGCTATTAAGTAATTATGTCATTACCTTTTCAATTTCTCACACTAATATAATAATAAATTCTCAGTTTTAGGGCTAATGAAGATAAAATATAAAAAGATATTATATTGGCCATTTATTTATTTTTAATAATCATGTCAGGAACAGTTAATGGTAATAACTTCGCTCATCTCACGATTATTGTCTTGGACTACATATGGAAACGACTTTATTCCATGGCAGGCAGCACCATATTCGCCATCATTGGTTAGAGCAATAACTGCTCCTGAGAAATCCGAGTAATGTGACGCTATTCTTTCAATAGCTGTCCGCGCAGCTCTGTTAGGGGACGCCCCTCTTCGCATTTCCTCCACGGCTAGAAAACTGAAATGGAAATAAAATAAATTATTTAAGTTAATATTTTTGAGATTGAATCAAGAAAATTATGACATGGCAATTCCAAATTAGTGATCACAGTATGAAGCAACTTCAAAATCATAACAATTAGTTTAAGTTCATTAGAAGAAATAAAATAAGGTAATATAATTAAGATATAGCCTGTAATTTTACTCACAAATGGAGCAATTACTATGGTTAGCCATATTTTTATGTGACTAGAATGACTGTCACAATGATTATCGCTGACAATCGCCGTTATCATGTGACGCCCATAGTCCTCTCGCCTTTCCAAATATGTCATAACTTCATACTTCGTTTATAATTTATCCCATTTATATTTGTATTAAAATCCAAAAATCATCACCTAGGAAGGAATCTCAGCATGACATCACCATCACCAGTTGCTGCAGCCCCACCGACCGTATTATCAGCATACGCACCACATCCAGGTATTGGAGAGTCACCAATCCTCCTGAAATATTGATAACCAGTGTGTTTTGTTCTTACAATGAAGATTGTTTGCTGCCTACAAACTATTTTTTTCGTGTAGCCATGCCACAGAGGAGGCAAGTGGTCCCACTTGTCCCCATAGACAAAGTACATTTGAATTTGAGATATCAATAAATCTTTGAATAAGAACTTGTAAATCTATGTGAATTAAAGTTTACAGTAATAATAATTATTACTGTAAACTTTCATTATAGTTTTTGGGTATATCATACAGTGCTATTGTGTGTACTGTATGATATACACTGTATGATATATACTGTATGATATAGTGGTGGGAGAAGGTTCAAAAACAAGGAACTATCTGAATTAGTTTTAGAATACACAATGACAATTTTAAGTGTATCTTTACTTTACCATCAATAAGTTAAGTACACAATGGTAGAAAAAATACAAAAGAAATATCCATCTTATTCATATTTATACTAAGATTATTATTAGAATGCTGACACATTATGTATTATTTTAATATGTTAAGATTGGCTTTTGGCCTATATGCAAAATATAAAATAAATAATCTACAACTACGCTCACTTACCCTGGAATCTTAAATTTTGCACCATTAGTAGAGGTACCCGCTGCTACATCTCCATTTTTGTCTATGGCCACCATACCAATAGTGTCATGGTTGAATCTGTCAACTATCATAGTTTTCTTCTGAGGTTTCCTATGTTTAACGAGTGTATCTAAATTCCTATAAGGACCACAATATTCATTTGGATTTGGTTGCACATTCTAAAAAAATAGAGGCTAAATGAATGGCCAAAATAAAGATGACAACATAAATATTATAAACAAGGACACATGACTGGGAGAAAGAAACATAGATCATCTTTAAACTAATCATAGGTAAGAATCAATGTGAAGTTTCTAATTAAAAGACTCTTATAACATCATAATCATAGTCCTATACCAATCAAATTAGAATTACAATAACTGTTTCATACAAGTTTTATACAGAATGTATACATAATACAGCCCTAAAATAATTATTATGTTAAAATACATTATTATGTAATGACCATTATTGTAATATGTAATAAGAACATAAAAAATATTAGTTACCATCCAAAAATTTGGTTGACAATGGTCTTCATTGTGCCATCTCATCCATAACTTCTTAGAATCAGGAGTAACTAGTGATTCTTCTTTAAAGCCCATTTGCAAAGCAAACTGAGTTGCCAGTTCTCCCACAAGGAATGAATGCTTGGTGTTTTCTAAGACATGGCGAGCAACTGATATTGCACTTTTGACTCTTCGTAAAGCACCAACTGCACCAACATTCATAGTTCTCCTATAAAATAATGACAGATATACATTATGCAAAAATTATTTAAAATGACTTAGTAAGTATCACAAAATAACAACTCACACAATGGAAAATGGTTATAAATAAATAGCATGGACATGAGTACCACACAACACTATGACATTCATGTTATATCAGTTGTGATGACCAGTCTACATAATTTGATTTTGTGCTATTACATGTGTAATTTATAGCACTAAAGTAGATGTAAGAATATTTAATATAGTTTAAGGTCCAGTCTTCTATAAAATTTATAGTACAATCACTGGTGTTATATACACCTTAAAAAATATATTTATACAAAACATGATAATACTTTATGATATTAACATCAAATCATACCCATCCATGATGAGTGCATCAAGTGTGGTCTCACCATCTTCATCAGGACTGCCACCAAAGCCAACTGTTCCATCACACTGTTGTACCTCACATACTGTAGCACCTTTCTCAATGGCATCTAATGATGAACCTCCTTTACTCAGTACATCCCATGCTTTGAAAAAAGAAGAAAAAGCTATTAATAATTATAGAAGATGATGGTGAATGTAGAAGAAAAATAGATTAGTAGCTTTAGTTTTATATTCTACATTATAAATAACATTTCCGTTCACTATGAAAACAATTAAATTTTAAGTAAACATGAATGTTGAATAGTGTTGTGCTTATAGGACAGTATAAACATACCTTTGATTGTAGAATTTGTAAAATGCCATGTAGTGATAACAATGGGAATATTCGGGTCACATCTCGTTTCGTAGAAATAAAATGTTAGCAGAATAATTACAACTTTCATAATCTTGACTTGTTATCTCGACTTGAGTTACAAAAAAGTATGTGATTTATTTAATGTAATATTTAATAAAATGTATGTAACTGTATCTTTATATTTATCGAGCCGACAAAAATATAGTAATCATAACTGAATGTTTGAACTTAGGCAATGATCGTGTCACATAAATTATTAGTTCACGTACAAATTAAACTATGTGCACTATATTAATTCATATGAATTATAATAATGTATTAAAACTAAACAAACAACCGACACAGTATTCGATTTGGGAAAATGTCAATATGAAAATTTGAATTCAACAAATCACAAGACAATATAATCAAAAAGATTATTAATGCCAAGTTGACAGCAAGAAATATAAAGTAATCATACATTATCCCACTGCCATTATTACATTATCCCGGAATTTAATAGGAGTAAATCTATACCGAAACTAAAAAAACAAGAATACAAACCACTAAAAAATGTTGTGCATTAAATAAGTGCCCCTTAGTAAGTCTTTAGTGATTTTATTCAAAGGATTTTTATTTTTAGCAAAAATTGGGAGATGGTGACATACATTTGACAACACTGATTGCAGCAAGTGCGAGTAATTGGATGTGTTCCTAATCTGTGATGAGACTGTTTTTCCAGTTTCTCTGTGTTCGTTTTTTATAATAAATAAATTTGTTAATTACGCCAACCATTGTTTTGTTTGGTTTAAATTTTGAGTATTGACAAAATTGGCTTTGATTCGTAAAATAAAATCAAACAAATAAAAGCTTTTAATTTAACTTATCATAATTATGGATTTGTATACGTTCTGCCGCGAACTTCCAAAAGTTGTAAGTTTTGCTATATTTAAAAAATTTTGTACATATAAAATAATTGTTATTTATTTATACATTATTATTTAATAATATATGCATTCAAGAAGTGATGGACATAGCTTTTTGTTTTTATATATCTCTATGTCTCTATATATATTATAAACATGAAAATTTGTTTTAATGAATAGATGGTTGTTTGTTCCTTTATCAATCAAATCATCGCAGTAACACGTAGACTGTAATTTAAAAAGATTTCGTATGAATCTGTCTAAAAATAATTCTACTTCGTCCCATTTGCGTTCTTCAATACGAGAGCTATCTACGCTACATAAACCGCGTTATCCTTAAATAATGTTTGACGGTTTATTTTTAAATAGTCCTTAAAAAAGTTCGCAACACTGTACATATATTTTATTAGGGAGCCGTTAGTAAGTAGATATATTTAATTTGGATTCTGTATAAAAATGTGTACTCTTATCATATTTTCATTTTAATATATATGAATTCATATCAGTGTGAGTAGTTTTATCTATTTTGGTATTTAAAGTAACTTTGTCATTTAAGTAATTTGGACAAATATAAACGCGGGTGAGATTCATTTCGCAAATTATCGCATGATCGTAAATATATAAAAAGTATGTACCTATATTGTTAATAAAGTACAGACTCAAACAACTATTATGATTATTGATTATAATTATATAATATGAAATTGATAAAGATCATAATGACCAATCATTTTGAATTTATTCGTTCATTTCTGCATTACTTCAGTACGTTCATTGCTAAATACGAAATTATTTTTAGGAGTTACATGCACATTTGAATGGTTCCCTCAGCAAATCTACAATGATGGAACTTCAGAGATATCTGGCTGATTCTGGCATCAGAGATGAGACTAATGCTTTTACTGATGAATTTGTACTGGGCGCTGGCGACACAAGGACATTATCAGAGTACCTATTTTTTGTCAATTTCAGACCTCTAAAAATTATTCAGAAAATTATTTATTATTTGTTTACCACAAAGAAACGTAACTTCAGTACTGAAAACATTAGTACGACCAAATACCAGCGCGGGTGTGAACCTTTGTGTAAATTAAATGTCGCTGGCCGAGGACCATCCTTGCTATAGCTTGAAAGTAGGAGACAGAGGTGATGAAGACCGAATGACTTCATGTCCTATCGTTTTCAATATACATTCGTTTATGTATTATTATAATATCATATCGTTTAATATTATAGTACGACCGAAAAATGTCATCAAAATTTTGTGATATAAAAATGTATCTTATTTAGATTAAGTATGTACCATTTTAACCTTATTGACATTTTATTTTGTACCTTATTGACATCGAATTATGAGCATTGAAGTGTCGTTTTTTCTTTCTAGTTGTTTTCAAGTCTTTAGTATTGCGCATGCATTAACTTGCACTCCAGAGGCAATAGAAATTGCTACATGTCTGACACTACAAGAGTTTCAAGCTGATGGGTGTTGCTATATTGAACTGCGAAGCACACCTCGAAACACTCCCCATATGACTAAAGAACAATGTGTTGCAGCTATTCTCCAGGGTATACAGTAAGTTTAGTAACATTTGCCGGACTAAAATGTCGTTATATAACCAGTAGGTAGTCTAAATTCATAACACCACAATGTAAATAGTTATTACAAGATCGAATTTTCCTTTCGACGAAACGCGCTTGCATGTTAATATGTAGGAATTGTTTTCTCGCTATTACTACAATAATAAATTGAAGTATTTGAGTACATTGAAATTATTAAAATTTAACCATTTATTTGTGTCTAAATATTGTAAGTTACAAATTTTCTTTGCTTACTTAAATATTAATGAAATCGCTAATTTATACCTAGTTTTGCTTTATTGACTTTATTGCAATCGTCGATACTTGCTGTCTTCTCCTATAAAGTATTGGAGGTTGCTACAATATACATTTGTTTAAAATTGCTTAGATTAATATACCACGTACTATGTATTTACGTGTATTAGATTAAAATACTGTTCATTATAGAAAGTCTTCTTTGCAACATCCCATGGAGTCAAGGCTTATAATATCAATAAACCGAAGCTCAAATAAGGATGAAGTTGAGGAGATAGCAGATTTAGCAATAGAATTTCATCGAAAACAACCTGAATTGGTAGTTGGAATAGAACTAAGTGGCAATCCTACTGTTGGAGAATTTAAAATGTTTGTACCAGCTTTAACTAGAGCTAAATTAGCTGGACTAAAGGTATACAGAATATGCGTATTACATGATTATTTGATGGCATTATTTTAATTATATTTGTACGTAGATTATTATTACTGTAAGTTGAAGCCATTATTTTCAACCCAATTTATAATTTTGTGTTTATATTTGAATTAGGTTTATTGTTATTATTATTTTAACTAAATAGACAGCCCATTGCGTAGATAACTTTTTATTTTAAATACCTACGTATTTTTTTTCTAATTAATATTTATTTTTACTGACAGATAACACTTCACTGCGGCGAAGTTTGTAATCCAAAAGAAATACTAGAAATGATTGAATTTAGACCAGACAGAATAGGCCACGCAATTTGCATTCACCCCAAATATGGTGGTACTAAAGAAATATGGACAGCTTTGTGTAAATCATCAATACCCATAGGTTAGAAAACTTTAATAAGATTTATCACCTACCTATCTTATATCGTATCTTGTATCGTAGTCTAGTTCAATGACAATGAAATTTTCACGCAAATGCACGCCCTATACAGAAATTACGTCACACGTTAATTTATATTTTCTTACAGAAGTATGCCTCACCAGTAATGTAAATACTAAAAGTGTACCGAGCTATGATTCTCACCACTTTAAATTATTATACGATGCAGGTTTACCAATCGCTATTAGTGTAAGTATCGTTTCATTTGTAAATTTATTTGGCAATACAAGAAAATCTCGTTTTATTTTAAGAAGAACATCGTCAAAATGAAGAGTGTATATTATTAAGAATCCTACTAACTTTAAGAGCTAGGTGTTTAAGATATTTAGTATAAAAAAACTTACTCTTCGAAAATCGGTAAATTCTTAAAAAATAGCATCTATGAGATAATTAAATCGTGGATTTCTTTATACACTACTAATAATTATAATTATAATACTAGCAATAATTTATACATAGATATATACTTGTACTAATTAAACAGTTTTATTTTTTTATTGCAGACCGATGATAAAGGAGTATTTGCAACATCTCTTTCACAAGAATATAGAATATGTGCTGATACATTTAATCTCAGTAAAGCACAGATAGCTCAGCTAGCACGTAATGCTTGCCAATTTGTGTTTGATACAAGAATACGTAATAAAATTCAAGAACATGTTACTGAATTTATGAATAAAAATAACACAGCTATTTGACTGTAAAATTCAACTTATTAATTATATTACTTGTAAAAGATACTGTAGTAGATATTTCAACAAAGTGAAGTTTATTTTCAAGACAGTGTCAGATACATGACATTTATATGACTTTATTTCACCGAACCACATCTATAGCATGTAATCACAGATGCAGGAGAAAGTTGTATTAAAGTGTTATTTATACTTCATTGGAATGATACTTGAGAATTCTAGTAATTATACGTTTCCTTTTGTTCCAAGCTGTTTGACTTTATTTTAAAGGTATAAAAATATATTGGTTAAACTTACGAAAGAGCACGCCGTGTGGTGTGGCCATTTGAAGATTGCTAGTGACAAGATAACTGATATTCATATAAGATAAATGATATTCCCCTTGTAACACCCGTCCCTCACCATTAGTTTGACCGCGTATGCTTAGTTATCATGTCATAGTTAAAATTAAAAAAAAAACACGTCAAAATAAAGAGATAAAGATCGCAAAGCAAAATTTCGGCTAATTTGAAATATCAACATTTTACCCTAAATTAAGGGAGAATGGCCCTAAAAAGCTGTCACAATAGCTGTGACAGTGACATTTCAAGTTAACTAATCTACCATAGAGTACTTTCAGGTTTTCTTAGATTTAGTTTAGCAAGCAATTGTAAGTAAAGGTTACAAAATCGTAACCTAAAAATTCTCTGAGTCTTTCGACCTTTATATAAAATGAGTGATATATCAGATTTCTCTGGATCTAGTCCTAAAGGAGCAGATTCAGAACTACAAGACTTTCTGCTAGCAGAGAAGCAAAAAGCGCAATTTCATGCCCAAGTACACTTTGCACAATAATTTATTTTATTTCTAAGAAAAACTTTTTAAGAAAAAGGGTTATTTGAGAAAATTATGTTTTATCAAATGACCTGTATTACGGAAAAAAAATGTTTACAATTCTGCAAACATTGTGATTGTTTATATCCCATATCTCTCTCCAGAGTATCTACATTAAACCTTGTGAGAACTACTGTTTCCAGCCCACCTAATCAGCTTGATGACTCCTATAGACAGAAATTTCTTAGTGCATGAACAAAAATATTTATTTAGGGTACTAACTATTCATAAACCTTAGAACTACATATGTTGGAAAGCACTGCAAAAGACCTTGAAATGGTTCATCCCTCGTTTTAAGGTCTTACTTAGTGCCTTACTTACTTGGTACGTCAGTTTTCATGTAATGTATAAAATTCCTTAGTCATGTGTATAATATAAAAATTACTTCTTTTACAGATCCATGAGTTCAATGATTTCTGTTGGGATAAATGTGTAGACAAGCCTGGAGCTAAGCTGGATTCACGCACAGAATCATGCATCACCAACTGTGTAGAAAGATTTATTGATGTTTCACTTCTCATTACAAACCGGTTCGCTCAAATGCTCGAAAAAGGAGGTGGAATGCATTAAGAATCTTGTTATAAACATTAGAAGAATATAAATAGTGGTTCAATTCTATTGATCAACAATGTTAATACTATATATGTTGTTCATACCATACTTAGCATTTAATAAGTAGGGGCAGACATTATGTTACAATAAATTATTGTAATATTTTTTGATATACTTGTATTGTTTCAAGTTTAGTGCAATACAGCTATGTGAACATTTTGTGAGAAAGTAATTTGTGGGTATAATAATACCTTTAATAAATCTCAAGTAACATCAACCTTGTTTACTTTTAATTAATTAAGAATACAATTTCAATTAAAAAAAAATGTTAGTATTGCATTTCTGATGATGCTATTTAAAATTAAAAGTTCTTGTATAGTGCAATAGTATTACAATAACCATGTTTTTTTTTAAATGGCTATAATATATTGTTATACAACTTGTATGCAATTTTGGTAATAAAGCTAAATAATGTTTTATTACCAAAATTGCATACAAGTTGCATTAAATCCTCATCCATGAATCACAGCATGTGTTTATAACAATCATGTATTTCAAAATTAGAAGAGTAGTTTTTAAACTTAAAAATAATATAGGAATTAAATAGAAAATAAACAAAATTATCGACTTTTGTATTAGTTTTAATTTATTTAAAATATTTTTGATAAAACTACTGCAATAGCAATAATTGATCTGATAAACCTGACATGAGACAACTGAATTGCACATTGATCTTTGACATATTATTAGAAAAAAAAAATATTATTCCTTAAAATATATAATTAAAAGAATTAGTGAATGTCTATATATCATTTATATTGTTTACATTATTAAGAATTTGGCAGTATGCCTGTGACAGTTTGAATCAATGAGAGTTGATTTTATTTTTATATTTTTATATATGTACTGAAAATTATCAGAAAAAGTAAATAAACTGGTATAAAATATTTTATAGAGTACTCCTGTGTATTCACAGTTGTAATTTACTAGTATATTTTGATAGCCACAGTAAAATGTATGCAGTAGTCAAGTTTGAATGTGAAAAAACATGTTGGGCATTAAATAATTTTAATCTATATATATAATAATTAATACTCAAACAGTCAATCCAACATAATAATGCCGAATCTCACAAATTATATGACAGAATTATCTACCAACTCTACCCAATTTCGTGTCTGTACGAGGGTCGGCTGTGACAGATTGAACAGCAACAAGGGCCTCATTTATTTTTGTTTGTAAATCTCTAAGGTCCTGTACAAAAAGTAATTTAAATACATCAGCTGGTTTTTGTATGATGTTGGCCTCTGTCTTTGGTACATCAGGGTGGGGAGAGTTCTTAAGTATCTTTGCAATAGCTGCCAATCGGAACTTTGGATCTGGATGTGGTCCAACTCCAGCAAGTGCAGATACCCTTTCTATACCAGCCTTGAAAGCTGGGCTTGAGACTGAAATACAATTATATATTTATTAATTTCTATTGTCATTCTCTTTGTAACACCATTATTAACATGAACATGAAGTCTTTCATTCAAAATAAAGAAGAATAAGAAAGATAGGACAGGTATAGTCAGGTTGATATTGCCATCTGTCTTTCACACAAAATGTCTTCATTCACATTCATATACAATAATGTTAACACTACTGCCAATATTACAGTATGTATTATACTCACAATCAAGGTTGTCTAAAGGATTTGTTGAAACAACATTGGGAGTGGCTTGTTTTGGTTGTTCTGCCTCAGCATTCCTATACTTGTCGACTGAAAGCAAAAAAATAAATATACTTTGTTACACATTATTAAAATAAAAAAAATTATAACAGTATTATTACCAACACCAATGTGGCTGTGTATTTTCTTTTAAATTGGAATGGCTGGATCTCCGCTTGATTTTGAGTGGTACCTGTATAGACAGCACTCCAGAGATTACATTATCATGTTACACATGTGATTCCATTCATGGCCTTCTAACCAGTAATTAAACTACGGGCAAGCATGGCATACATCATAATAATATTATAAACAAACGTTTTGTAAGTATAAATATTTGTTACACTTTCATACAAAAACTACTCAATGGATTATGATGTCACAGTTATATAGCTTATGCATCAGAATAACAATAGGCTATATTTTTAATTGAAAATTAATGCAGGTGAAATCACAAGCACAGATAGTAAACTAAATATTTAATAAATTGATAAAATTTATTCACCATTATCTGCATACTCTAATCTCACTGCATAAGACAAAAGCCAGTTCAATTGTTCATTTGGATGACCACTAATAAAAGGACTAAGCAGGTCCCTTTGATAGGTGTAATAGGCTTCTGTCCAATTATCTGCACTGATATTTCGTAAATTATCTCGTTCTTCAATTTTGTAATGTCTAATTTTTTGATCCTCTAGCCACATAACCGCACTTCTATAGTCCCTTTCATCTGAAAGAATTTTAATATTTATTATTTGTATTTTTTTAGAAGTAATATATCTTAGCTACTGTTATCGAATAATTCTTTAGTAGTTCATCGCAGACAGCAGAAAACAAAGAACTTGCGTGTATATTTTTGAACGTCGTTTATATTAGAAATCGTAAATTCGGTGTAGCAGAAAGCCAATCCTATTTCGGTTTGGTGCAAAATTATATATACATACAAATGTATACATAATCTGCTCTCAGTTTCGAGTTTGTAAATTAAAATTTAGTGATATTTAATTATTGTATACGATTAACTTATGTGGAAATTTGTTGTACACCTTCACAATTGAAACCTTCCGGATTAGGATGTCCAAGTGCAATTAACTTTATTTTAAACATAACTAATTGCAGTTAAGTTTTACTGTGAAAGATTACTTTAGTAATTGATTAATTAATTCAACGTAAATATTAGAAACAAAATCATAAGCGCGAATTAACGCAAATTGATCACAGATGAAAAAGACCAAACAATCCACAAACTAAAATAGATATGAGAAATACAGCACAGATCAGTCTTCAATAAAAACTCTGAATAATGCTCTGAATTTTACTCTGAATTATGCTCTGAACAATATAGAACAGAACACAAATTGACAGACAGATAAAGTAAGAATGGATGATCGATAAATATCGATTTTATTGCAAAATTATCGATATTTCTAAATCGACATCAAAGTCGTAACGTAACATGTTACGTTTTCGATGACATCCACATATAAGGTCGTTCAAAAAAATCCAAAATAATAAAAAGAACCTCATATTTACGCCGCATTTTGGTCTTCTTTTTACGGTGCTACGCTATTTTTTGTCCACAAACTATGGCCAAAGAGTATCTTAATTATAGAGGGAGGCGCGCACTGTCTGCCGAGGATAAAAAATCTGATCTATGGTTCAATTGTTGACACTTCATGAAATGTCTGAAATTTGTATTTTTATTTTTATTGAAAAATTCAGCTATGTCTTGGATTAAAGAGAACTGCGTTTCATTCTTCCAACTTTTTTGTATTAAGGTGGTCAAAACCGGACGTGTTCCTCAGCACGTAGCGTTTATAATGGATGGTAATCGCCGGTATGCAAAAAAGCATTCTGTAAAAAGCAGTGCAGGCCACAGCAGAGGTTTTGATAAACTCTCTGAAACATTAAAGGTTCGCTAACATTTTGGTGTTTAATAACTGTAGCAGTTACATACATAGCTGTCAGTGTACTCGTATTGTAAACTTTTACTGTTACTCTAGATATTAATTAAAGGTATTTACAGTGGTGCTTAGATCTTGGTATACCAGAGGTTACAGTATATGCATTCAGTATAGAAAATTTTAAGAGAACTGAAGAGGAAGTCGATGCGCTCATGGACCTAGCTCGTGATAAATTTCAAAGACTGTTAGATGACATGTATGTATATAAAAAAATAAAAGTTAACATGTGAAATGACTTGTTATTTAGAAGAATAAATGAAAACATTCTCACTACTTTCAAACTGTGGATTGTGTGTTTTAAAATACGTGTGATATGCATTTTATAGTATTCAATATTACTCATTATAATTTTTAACATCAATATCCTTGTAAATTAATGTAGTTTCCTAGCATATGTTTTTTTATTGTGACACAATATATATTTACTGAGGGGTAGTACACACATATAGTGTCTATTTTTAAATATAATAACTACAATATGTTATTCATGACAAAGTTTTGAGAATATTTCCATTTATTTTTCTAAATAAACCGTACATTCCACAATTGACTAATACTATTAAAACTATGATATGCTTAATAAAGAAACTTACATAGTAAAGATAGCATTGATATTGCAATTTTATTTATGTTCATAATTATATAAATTAATAATAGCATATATTTTTAGAGATCAAATAAATGAATGGGGTGTACGCATACATATAGCAGGAAGGCTGTCCCTTCTGCCAGCTGATTTGAGAGCCCTTGTTTCCCGTGGCATGCTAGCCACTCAATATAATAACAAATTAAGACTTAACATAGCTTATGCTTATACAGGCAAGTTGTCTTACTTATTACTATAAATATTATGAAAATAATGCACTGACATGACTGTTATCCGAGTTGATATAGTTAGAAGTATTGTCAATTTTTAACATCAATTAATGAAAAACATGAAACTGAAATGGCTACATTTCACTGGGTATATTTGAATCCATCTCGAGGTGAGCTTACTATATCAAAAGAAATATGTTTGCTGTAAATTTTTCCTTCACTTAAGAGTCTGCCTGAAATGTTTTATATTTTCTTGTACTTACCAAATTTGAACTTACAACCTTTTGTAAAGTAATATGTAGTCATGATAATAAATTATTACACAATGGCCATTAATTTTAAATTATAAAATTATTGTAATATATCTATTGTCAATCAAAGGAAACAGCTGAATATATATAAATGAATTATGGCATAGTGACATAATAAATAAAATGTTTTAATACATAGAACATTTTATTCTGGTCATATAATAATAAATATTTAATAAAACTATTACCTTATGTTAATGTATAAAGCCATAGCAAAAAAAATGGAAATAGTAATTCTTGACTATAAATTGTTCTGTTATATTACTATATTTCTCGTAGTTCCATAAGTTTAATTAAACATACTAATATCCAGTATCTATTTTATATTTCATGACAATTGTTACCCACAAGATAACACAAAAATGGTCTCTTTTCTAATGTTAGTTATGTGATATAGGTCGAGATGAAATCAGTCGTGCTGCATCACATATAGTGGATGGTGTCAAAAATAATGAACTTAGTCTGAATGACATTGATGAGGAACTGGTCTCTTTATCAGTAGAACTTGGAGAACCTGAACTGTTGGTGAGGACATCTGGTGAAGTCAGACTGTCTGACTTCATGCTTTGGCAGGTAGTGATTTTGATATTTCATTTTCTTTCATATTTATCTTTACTTTTTTTAGGCAAGACGCATGAATAATCTTATATTATAAAAATATAATATAGCCTTTTTTAGAGAAATCATGTTGTTGTTTTTTATTTTCATTTTACTACACATATATTCATTGCACAGAAATAATGTCATATTTGTTAATACAAATTTTCAAAATGACGATCTTCCAACATAGTATTGTAATTTTCGAAAGCATCAGGCCATAACTTATTACTGCTTACATGTAAAGCTCCAATAACACCCACATTTTTTTATATAGATGGTAATGCTATGGTGCACCCGCCTAACAGTATACATTAATGGGGCACTAGTGGAAGATGTTAACATGTGTACGACACCAACGTAAACCATTAGCAGATGGGTGTACCATTCCATTATCATCCATAAGACATGCTCACATATAGAATATAAGTATGAGAATGAAATTAAGTTATTGTAAAATGTTGTAATTCACCAGGAATATATATTCACCAGAATAAAATTCTAAATGAACCTTGTGAGGGTCATAATAGGGTGCATATATTGGTAACAAAGGGTCCTGAAGTTTTATTGAAGTTACTATTATTAAATATTATGAATACACTATTTTCTTCTAAAAAAGTTAGGTTCACATTTAATATAACTACTTTATTATTCCAGGTAACAAACACAGTACTGTACTTCTCAGATGTGTTGTGGCCGGAATTTACGATTTGGAACTTATTAGCAGCTATAATACATTTCCAAAGACACGCCCCATCGCTTAAAGAAGATGAAGAACCCAGTAAGAGTAAACAGACGTTTTTAGATAAATTAGAAATCAAAAGAATTCAAGAATTAGAAAAATATGTTAGTAGTTGTTAACTGCTTCCAATCTAGCTGCCTGTTGTTGATTGTTATAGTTTATTTTGATATACATAGTATAAATAAATATAACTAATATATAAAAACAATGATATTTTTCTTACATACCCAATAGTTGTATCTTAACTAAAATAGAAAACATATAATTAGTTAAGTTCTCGGCTCGAGGTAAGCAAAGGAGGCCCAAGGACGAAAATCGCGCAGTAGTATAAAATTTCGCGAACTTTTAGATTATATAGAGAACTAGTGAACAATGATAAAATGTTTTTAAAATTACACATAAAAATACATTGAATCAATTTTCAAAAAACATACACACTGTCATTATTTGACACACACAGGCGTATATACTGATTTGTCATTGTTAATTCAAAGATCTTTTGTACTTTTTATTATGATCGAATTGACCACTACTTTGATTAACTATGTAAAAGTTGATCGAGCTTGAATTTCTATACAATCTTTTGTTTCTAAGGTATCCGGTATCCGGTTTTTTTAAATAATGCTTTATTCATGACCATGGACGGTAAATAACAAAGGGGGCCATGTAAAACATTTTTTACTAAGACATCGATCGAGCCCATTCATTCTATCAATAGGCTCAACCAAAGTTTGAGTATCGTGAATTGCTTCAAAGAATATTTTAAATATATTCATATGGAGATAACCAGGCGTAGCGTTCCGAGCCTTGAATCCGTTAATCAAGGTTGATGATTATTATAATAATCACGGCGAGGTACTTCTTTAATGATGATTAAAATCAATTAAATTAATTTATTGTTTAACATATAATTGTTTACTTCCGACACTGATACGAGTTGTAGAATATTGAATATCAAAACTTTACGAGATATAAAATTACGCAATTTATACAAGTTTATGTATGTATGTTCTGGAACAATTTAAAAAAATGTATAATTACTAAACGTTTTGACCGCCGAGAGTGTAAAATTATTAAAGTAGATACTAATATCGCCATTAAAAAATAACGATTGATATGGATTATTGATATGGTCTCTGTATATAATGTAATGCTATGTCATTAAAACTTATGAGCAAACAATAAAATTGATAACGCAGAGGTACTTATACAAATAGTTTACGTTATAAGCTCAGACCTGATTACTGATAAGCACAAGCATAAAATTTATAAGAATCAGTCAGAACGAAGTCAGCCGAACAGGAAAATTTTATATAGGTATGTAATAAATAATCGACGACTTCAGTGGTTTAGCCATTTAATACATCGGTTTTTATCGCCGATTTGATTCCCGCACGCAACAAAGATTTTATTCCTTCGAGTAGGTACCTATGTTTGTATTAACACCCACCGGTGTTCATTATAAATATACACATTTTGTATAGGTATATGTACCTACATATTTACAAAAAATGTATACCTTAGCATTTCAATCAGTTGTTGTTCTTTAGCACCTCCCTATGGTAAATAAATTAATAAGAGCGCAGTCGGAAATGCTGGTAAAAGAGGACTCCTCCAAAGCTATAAATGGACAGTTATTACTGCGGAACCCTATTTATCACGTTCAAAATGTCCTTAGCCTGCTTTTTTTTCTCTGAGTCAGGCTATATTTATTTACGGAGTCATGTCATGTTTAAAGATCACATTTCAATTAACCGCGTCGAACAAATCAGTTGTATCGAATCACTATTTACAAAGTGTCGTTTAGTGAAATACGTCTTTATTCGATATATTTAAAATGATATGGTTTAATGATAACGTTTCATTGTTACACTATTTTTCTATAAAGGTATTGAAGACCGGTCGTGTGCCTGAGCACATCGCCTTTATAATGGACGGGAACCGTCGTTATGCGAAAAAAAAAGGTGTAAAGAGCGACGTAGGTCATAGTAAGGGTTTCGATAAACTTACGGAAATTTTAAAGGTATTTAATATATTACAAATACAAGTTGAATTTGTTTAATTTTGTATATCATTAGTTACATATTATCTCAACATAGCATATTGGTATTATAAATAATAATCTTAATAAATAAATAATAAAAATAAAAATTTTACAGTGGTGTTCAGTACTTGGTGTCAGAGAAGTTACCGTTTATGCTTTTAGTATTGAAAATTTTAAACGGACTCAAGAAGAAGTAAATACTATCATGAATATAGCATACGAAAAGTTGAAATGTTTTTTAGAGGAGATGTATGTACCACTTTAATTAATACTTTAATTTACAAAATGTATCTACATATAACACACGAACACATAGATATCTATATTGGTAATTATTTGTATCTACCCGTACTGTAATCTCATAAACTTAATCTCCTAATATTATAAATGCAAAATTAAATCTGTCTATCTCGCTTTTACGCCAAAACGAATACTGAACTGATTTAAATGAAATTCGGTACACAGATTGTCCAACTCTGAGAAAATACTGGCTACATTTTAAAGTTACTTCTAGTATTATCATTTTTAAAGTTAGAAGATTGAAACGTATGTTTTAGGTTGTTAATTGAATATAAATAAATATGACATTAAACTTTTAAAACTCCTATTTTATTTTACCCCTAAGTGGGGTAACAAACCCTTAAGAGGGTAAAATAAAATTAGAACAATGAAACTGTTAAGAGATCGCTTTGAGCGCTAAGGTCGCCTTTTGTTCACATATTTTTTTTTCTTTCTTTCTTTTTTGTAATTATTTGTTCTTCTTTTTATGCACAATAAAGTTTTTATTATTAGATTATTGAATATTTTTTGTTTATTTAGTCAAGGTACTATAAATCGCGGACGAAGTCGCGGGCACAGCTAGTCTGATATATACTCGATCTTTAAATATGACGACTAAAGTTCAATGTACCATGGATATTATATATTGCCACAGGTAAGATGAGACAGGTACATGGTATTGTGGAACCAGCAGTTTAAAAGGCGTCTCGCGATTTACAAGTACAAATGCAAATTTGAATTAATTAGAGGAGAATTTGTGTAAAGGAGTGTATAGGGAAGGCCGTGATGATTGAATAATAATATAATTGATTGATCCGTATGATAAAAAATACAAGCAATATTTTACACACATTAAAAAACAGAGTTCAGCATAATGCTGGAATTATAGTTTTCAGTGCTTATTGTAAGAGAGATAATACTAATGGGTATACTAGCTGACCCGCGCTACTTCGTCCATATGCTGTATGTTATTCTAATATAAGCTATATTACTGTAAAGTTTCATCAAAATCCGTTCAGTAGTTTTTGCGTTAAAGAGTAACACATAAATTTTCGCGTTTATAATAATTTGCGAATTAATTTTCAGTAACGAAGTAAATAACTTAGGACTACGCCTTGTTATAACTGGGAGACTTTCTCTTCTACCGAAAGACTTCAACGCCATTGCTTCATCCTGTATGATTGCAACTAGACGCAATAAAAAGTTACGACTCAATATTGCTGTTGCTTATACAGGCAAGTAATGTAATTTAGTAAATTGCAATAATAATAATAACCTTTATATGACAATATAATACATATATTTTATTATTATAGCTTTATAACATATATTTTTACATACAATTACTATGTTTTTTATATTTTTCTTACTTACTTACGTCAACCCTCTCTAATATAATATAATATCTCAGGACAATTCACACAGTGACGTCTAGTCCCAAGGTAAACAGAGCTTGTGTCATTGATACTAAACTACTGATAGAAATACTTAAATATATTTTGTTACATATACAAACTTATAAAATAGCCATACCAACACAAACACTCGTACTCAAGAACACAAGTGTTTGCATCTTGCGAGGAATCGAACCCGCGACCACGGGAAGTAAAACGGATGTGCTAAACCGTTAGACCACCGAGGCCATCGAGGCCCATGGGAGCAAGAGGAAAATAATAGGTTGATATGATATTTTTAAGTTAATTACCTATTTTGTATAGATAAGTAGGTAATCTATGGATTATAAATTATAATTGTCTATAGGTCGAGATGAAATCAGTCGTGCTGCATCACATATAGTAGACCGTGTCAAAAATAAACAACTTACTCCGGATGACATTGATGAGGATCTCATAACCTCATCATTAGAACTTGGAGAACCTGATCTTTTGGTGAGGACGTCTGGTGAAGTCAGGCTGTCTGACTTCATGCTTTGGCAGGTAGTGCTTTGATATCACACAACTACTGTATTATTCATCATCGTCATCATCAATATACAGGATATCCCAGAACTCAACGTCAAGCCGAAACGGGGTGACAGGATTCATTGTATCCATCGAGAGAAAAATCAGAAAAAAGAAATTATGTATGCATTTAAACTTTGGAACCGTAACCCTAAATAACATTTCTAGAATCACAGTAAAAAATAATGACACAATTGCTCCAAGTTTTCTAGAATTAGAGACTTTTATTCCAAGAAACCAAAACAAAACTAGGTCAAATTTTTCATTAGTTTTACCACAGATAATATAATATTACATACTTACTTTTGGTGAATTTAGTAAAAGAGGCGTCATTGTCTTGCCGGTTAAAAAAAACTTCGGGATAAATTTACAATAAGACTATATTGATTAAAAAATATTATCAAAAATGGACAGATAATTCGCGAAGATGTGATGTTACATTCACCCAAAATTTAACCAAATTTGGAATCTGTTTGAAGTCTAATTAAAATTGAAATACCGCTCATTCAATATAGTTATAAATATTCATATCATATTGTTTATATACATACAATGAAACCTATTAAAAAAAAACAATCATTGTAATCCAAAGCGGCGGCAGTGTAGCCGAGACACTGGCAGTGTTGCCTCTTAGAATAGCCAACATACCTTCTAGTCAAAGTAGTCATCAGCTCTCGGGACTCAAGTCTCATGTTAAAATACTAGTTAAAACGAATTTAGCTTCATTATACCATGTGCTCTGTAGCATATTGCGGGTGACAGTTTCATTAATGTTTCGTTTCACTCTTAAAAGTTGCCGCGATTTACAAATTATGACTTAGTATTTTAGCTGTACCACATTCATAATATATTAAATCCTTAGTAACTGTTTTAACTTAAATGTAGCAATTGTTAAATTTAAAATTCGTAACTGGCACCTGCACCCTGCTCCAGAGCAAACAGTAAACCCTATTTCAAAATTTTCTTTCAGGTATCAAATACTGTACTGTACTTCTGTGATGTTTTATGGCCTGAATTAACAATTTGGAACTTGTTAGCAGCTATAATACACTACCAGAGACATGCTCCAGCTTCCAAAGCAGTGATGCCATTCAGTAAGACTAGACAGATGTTTTTAGATCAATTAAATAACAGAAGACTTCAACAACGACTTAACGAGGTTTCGTTAACTCAATAAAACAACATTATAGAACTTTATAGACTTTGCAGTTTAGGCATTAAGATACATAATGGCTTAACTGCAAGGTGAATTGGACGTACTGTATTGAGATTTGAAGAATAAAGTACAGATTTTTACTTTCCAATTGAAAGTGAGATATTCGTATCCAGGAGGCATAAGAAATATAGCTTTTTATTTCTTAAGATGAACGTAAATGAATGTATACATCTGTGGTAATAAAAAAATATATGTATAAGAACTTATTTAATTACTTTTATTGCCCGATTTACTGCTTGTTTTTAACATCAATTACTTTGATATGAAATGTCAACAACTATTGTAATATACAATAGTTCATTTTCCTTTGATTGTATATTTTGAATATGTTTTGGTAGGATCATATGGCTCCCATCTGGAAGCTGGAAAAATGTGTTTATTTCTCTCGTACCAAGATCTGAAAGAATAAATAAAAAAATATTCGGTCAAACGTCTTATTCACAGCTTCTTGTTTGTAACCAATATTAAAAATAATCTGTTAGTTAGATAGACATAGAGTAAAATAATTACCTTAACAATACTTTGCCTGCATGTGAGTCTTGCTTCTCTTGTGTGGCATCATTAACTAATCTTACATCATCTGATGCATCAAACTGAAACAACGGACCGCTTTTTCCTCGTGCCTAGGAAAAATAGTAACAGCAGAGTCAGTATATCTACATTAATATTGTTATGTATTATTATACTTATATTACGGAAAAAAATAAAATTATATTTTTTTCTGTCTTGAACGTCGTTTTAGTGACATTGACTTTTACTCGTCTCTATTAATAAATGCCAAAGAACTCTAAGGAGACGTACATGCCCTTTCTTTTACTTAAAAAATCTCCTTCAAAAAATTAAATAATTTCTTCAGTGTCTTTTTAATAAAAACTTGTACAAGGATAATAAAATATAAAGAACAATATGGAAATATATATATACGCACGAGCGTATACCTGCCCGCCAGCGAGCTAAACAGAAATTGATTTCAATTGGCAAAAATTATTTTCAATATTAATATAATAAATATGTTAAAATTATATTAAAAACATACCTTCATGACTATGAAGTCATAAAATGTATAATGGTGGGGCAGTATAAGGTCTTCTTTCACATACATGAGTTGGTCAGCAGACACTGTCTTGAGCTCACTAAACTCGGGCCGCAACGTGTCCAAGCAACGCTGTAGAAATTGGTAAATTGAGTTCCCTAAAATATAATGCAGGATATTAAAAAATAATATAATAAATAGGGTAGTATGTTAGGACACTGTGAACTAGAGTTCATAGCTTTTTCTTTTTATAGAAACTAGCGGTCGCCTGGCTTCGCACGGATTTTTATGGTATAGTAGTAAGGAAAAGGGGATTGTTAGTAATGTGGACTGATGACTTCATTGCCAGTAATATACCATGTCAGGTTGACCGCCACGCGGTTGGCCCTGGTAACAATCGTGATCATCTTATCATCCTCCTCTGGTGCACCGCCAGCGCAAACCATTAAGCGCAGGTAAGCATAGGCGCGCAAGCGAATGCACCAATCCGTTAAAATAATTTAAAACAGTAGGTATAGCAGTAAAATATAAATTTCAACACACACACATCCATATACACTGTTTGATATTTATGTATTCTATCATAAACTATCATAACTACATCATCATTACTAACATAACATAGAATAGCTTCATCATCGCTTTGCTGTATTGTCAATAATTTGCGAAGCGTGCGCAGTGCAACAATTTTGTATATTTTCACACATACATTTGGATGGATGGAGGTTATCATTTGAGGAACCCTAGTTTTTGAAATTATTCTATAGCCTATGTTCATCAGAGATAGTGTAGGATTATTATAATAAAAGTTTTGTTCAAACGGTGGAGAAAATTTGGATTCTATTTAATGTAAAACAAACAATAAAATCTTTACTCTTTATATTATTAGTATAGATATAGTATATTAGTTACAAGTATTTTACATAAATTTCGTCAAGTAAATGTATATTCTTGTATACTTAATAAAAGCAACATAAACATTTTATTAATTTCATAAAAAATATCTATTTGTGAACAGGCGCTCAAATTCAATATTACATCACCTAAATAAGCCATAACATCACAATAAAAAAAAATTAAAATTCATTGCCCGATCACCTTCACAGCAAAATTTGGGAGTTCATGTTCAGTATATAATAACTATTATCTCAAAAGAATAACAAGGATTTAGAACAAAGGCTGATATTATGTATTATGCAAATTAAAATTAGACATGTCTAACATTTACAGGGTTGAATGTCGTCACAGTTTCATACTCAGGTTGTTAACCTACTGGTGTTTCTAACTACAATATACTAGTGGTGTCATATGCAATTGTACAATTTATAATATACCCAAAGTGGTGGTCACCACCAGAGAGTATTCTGTCTCACCCACTGTCTCTGCTAAGAGTAATTTGCCTGTACTATGTGTTCTAGCTATAAATAAAGGTTAGGTTAGGTTAGGTATTAGTATAACTGGAACACAGAGGCATAACAGGCCTTCTATATAACATTACCTTACTATTAACCTTGTCTATGATATGTCAAGGCCTATAGTTAAAGTTTAGTTTTTGAAATTGTCCATGATTCAAATGTCTTATAATGAATATGAACTAATCAAAATATTGTAGTTATTTTTTATAATATTTATTAACTATAAACATTATAAAAAACTACAATATTTTTGACATTAAATATTTTTGTCATATAATAATAATTAATCTAATAAATCTAATATCATTATTCAAGTTCACGTGACACTAATGAGATTAATTTAAAATATTAAATGAGTTTCAAAATTTATTGATAATAATTTAGTAATCGCTTGCAATGTTCATGCATTTCAAGGATTGTCTAAGTAATGATTTTCATTATGGGGAATCGTTTCTACACAGGAGAGCAGTTGAGAGGGGAATAGTCAGTCATAGAGCTATAGTGCTATTAGCTGGAGTAAGCTATTCTTCAATTCACACAAACATTATTATTACATTACCTTTCTTTAAAGTCACATTTCGTCGATGTCCAGAGCCATCCCAATAGCTAAAGGTGACAGTAATTGGTTCATCTTTAAGGCTAGCTTGTGTCATCACCCATTCTAAACGAAGTTCCTCCCTAAGTTTTAAGTCTGCTTCCTCACGTTCTCTATCAGGCAGGAATGATGTATCCACATCTGGATTCTTCTTTATTTTTTTCAGTAGCTAATAATGCAATTATAATAATAAATTATAGCAGTGGGTGCTTTGTGGTGTGTAAATATCTATGGTGTATACAATTCATCTCTAGGTCATTGGGAGAAGGGGATGGGAGGGGGATGGTTCTTAGTATATTACTACAAACTAGGGCTATTGCCCTAGTTTGTAGTAATGTATCATGTAAAATCGAATATCACTTGAAATTACCCTGGAAATGACGACCTCTGTGGTCTAGCGGTCTAGCACACCGCTTTACGACTGATGGTCGCGGGTTCGATTCCTCGCACGGCACAAACATTTGTATTCATGAGTATGATTGTTTGTATCGGTCTGGGTGTTTTCTATGTACAATATGTATGTATTTACCAAAAAAAATATCTATGTATTTGTATCAGTTGTCTAGTACCCATAACACAAGCTTTAGCTAGCTTAACTTGGGTCTAGATGGCGCTGTGTGAATTGTTGCTGAGATTATTATTATTAAATCTCCTGTTGATTTCACAACAAAAAAAACTATAAAATAAAATGCAACCAAGTCACAATATGTTTAGTGGTTTTTTATTGTGTAGTTTTTAATATCAAAGGGTCTGTGACCGAAACTGCTCATTTAACATAAGAAATTCAGTTTCAGAATTTTAATTATACAAACACTGAAGGTTAAAATTATGTGTGAATCTAAACAAAGTTAGCAAACAATAACTTATGTGTATTTTAATACTAATTGTAATTAGGTATTTATAGTGAGATTGATTCACTCACTGTAAGTAAGTAACCAGATTACTGTAAGTAAAACAGTATGTAAATTTATAGCTGTGAGATCCAAGTTTACATCTTACAGGTATAAGTACAGTAGATTAAAATTACTGACACTAATAACACTATTACTATACCCATATAAGGTATGTATACTTAAATAAAAAGAAAATTACCTCTATCATATACTTTCTTGTTGTAACCAGTTTTACAGTTTGGCACATGTAGGCATATAATATTCAACCATCTTAAAAAAGGTTGTCTGATTTGACAACCTTATCTCATAATTTTTATGTAAAAATAACTTTTTACTATAAAAATAAACCAATTTTAATTATTCTTTTTACTGGAAAGCTGTTATATTCTCATATGGTATGGTCCTATATAAATTTCATCAAGATTATGGAAGTTTTTTTATTAATCCTTTAGAATGTTATTGAAATTTGTTTCTTGTTGATTGTTCATAGCATTAAGTTGGTTCTACTTACAGGTTCTTCTTTATCTCTCCAGTTCATTTCAGGCTCTTCAACTTTAATTTCCTCCTCTGATACATCTTCCTCTTCCTCCTCATTCATGTCAAAAGAAAGTGCTTGAATCTGTAAACATTACATACTTGAGGTCATCATAAAAAAATATTTAGTTTACATGAATAAAATAAATGTTATGAAAATTATAAAGTGAGCCAAAATTAATTATTCATATAGCTCTTTTTATATACTCCAGTTCGGATAGCTAATTTTACTGGGCAAAACACATTTTTTTTAATTAGTCTTATCATTTCTTTTAGTTAGTATGTATTGATATTTGTTGCCATGTTATGGGATAGTCTAGCATAAGGTCCAATGAATAATTGAACTACATGAATATTACATAAAATTGTAATAAATAAGATAAAACCTGTCGTTTCTGTTTATTTTTCTGTGCCTGTTTTGCTTCAATTTCCTTTTGTCTCTCTTTTTCTTTTTCAGCCTTCTTCTGTGCCAGTTTCTTCTCTCTCTCACGTACTATGTGTTCTTGTTTCGCCTTCATCTCGTCAAGGGTTACCAAACCTATAGTAGAGCTTTTCAATTGTTGTTCTACTGCATCATAATGTGTAGCAAACTTGTTTTCGATATTATCTATTTTTAGATCTTCTTCTATTTTCTTTTTACGTAGTTCTATTTCTTGCTGAGCTTTTTCTCGCTTCTTCATGAGGTGCATAGCGCGACCTGCCTCAGAGGCAGCACCCTTATAATGTGCCATTATAATGTATATAATTTAATAAGGCGGGCAGTAATATTTACTGTAGAACAAGTGTTTTTTAAAAAAATACTTTAGTAAAGTATTATTCGTTTACAAAATTCAGTTCATAACATCAAATCCACTGGACATCAATCTAGCCTATAAAACAATTACCACAATTCAGAGTTGATAATAAAATCAATTTACTTTGTTCATTGAACAACAATGTACGTTTCCAAAAAATATTAAATTATAATAATAAACAATAAAATAACGCAACTTGAACAAATACATGACAGATCAGAAAGATACGGGCATTACGAGCACAGAATAAAAGTGTCAATTCAGACAGAGAGATGTAGAAAAGCAATTGTCTATGGTATTCCATTACAATGTGTACTCTGTATTTGTAATGTAATTATTGTAAGTTATGAGAGTCCATAATTTAGCGCGCGAACAAAAGTTATATAAAACAATATAATTATAATAATATTTGAGTACAAGTGAGGGGAAACCAAACCAAAAACTAAAATAGAGTAGATGACGGTGGATTTACTTGTTCAAATTTAATAACGTACTCTGTGTTATAGTCATTGTTGTTTTGTTTCACCGGTGTATTTTATTTTAAACGTGTTTTGAACTCCGTCATTTTAAAACTTACAATCATGGAAGAGGCAATATTGTTTCCTTCTCCAAATTGGTTCCGAGTATCAGGTTTTATTGTGAGTACAGACAATTGGTTGGTGTACGGAGGTCCGAGCAAAAGCATTTGTGTTTTGGAGCCATTGCCTTCGAATACCGGTTTATCTGGAGGAAATTCGAGCTATAAAGCACACGTCCTTAACAGAGCACACTCCGAGAAGTAAGACTATTTAATATTTATTATATACAGGATAATATAATAGTTATTACTACATAACCTAATTTCTTATGAATAAAATTATCTGGTATGAGGGTAGAGTAAGTTGCAAAAGTTCTTAGATATTTTTTCTACTTATATCAAATACGAATAATAATGATTACATATCTATCCACACAAAGTTAGTATTATACATCTATAGTATTCAGCAATCAATCACAATAACTTGCAAGCTTAATGACTAAGTAAATAAATATTGATACCCTGTTAAAGATCAAACTTAACGTTAGCCACGAGTTTTACTGCCAGAAATAAGAAACTTATAATAGTTGAAATAATAAACTTATTATACTGTGTTCGCTGTAGCATGGTGCGTATGACAGTTACTAATTTTGCTTTTAACAATTGCTATATTTAAGTTAATAATGTGATTAATGATTGAATATATTATGAATGTGGTACAGCTGACATACTAAATCATAATTTGTAAGTCGCAGCAACTTTTAAGAGTGAAATGAAACATTAATGAAACTGTCACCTGCACCATGATACATTGCACATGGTATAATCTAAAAACTTTATTTAATTTACATATCAGATATATTGAATGACTGTACAAAAAAATAGCTACTTTTTGTAAAAGAATATGTAACTCAAACAGTACATGTACAACATTAAAAATAAATTAGAATAATTGTTTTACTTTTTCTTTTCAGAATTATTAGTGTAGATATATCACCTGAATGGCCAGCAAAGCGATCAATGCTGATGGGAAGTGCTGATGGTTCAGTTAAGCAATGGACAATGGAGTTAATACAAAATACATGGCGCTTTAAGTCTACACAGAGCCATGAAGTGCATGTACATGAAAAAGAGGTTATACTTGCATTATTTATGATAACATATAATGTTAAATTAATATCATGTCAAGTTCTCCCTATATGAACTCTGCTGGTGTTGCTTATAATCAAAATTAGTGTAACTACCAAATAAAGTTAATTAAAACAATAGTTTCAGTTAACATTATAGTAAAAATTTGTTTCGATTTGGAATTAAAAGTCTAAAAAAATTTACTTAAAAAATAACAACCATACTTTTCTTAATCTTTGTTTTAATTTTTTAATTTGATATACATAGTGTAATTAAAAGTTTACTTTACTACCCATAGGAAGTTTGCGGTGTAGGTTACTGCAACAAGACAATTGCTGTATCCGTTGGTTGCTACGGTAATATTGTGAAATGGGATCTAACTTCTAATGTTGTAAGGATGTGTAATTTACTAAAAAATATGAAACCAAATTGCATGCAGTGCTCCCCTCACATACCTTTACAAGTTGCTGTCGGAACCAAACAAGGAGTTATATTTGTTGTTGATTTAAATGGTAAGGATATAGCAGTATTTTTTTTACTAACAAAGCTATTAACAGAACAAATTGAAACCTCCTCAATACTGAGCTATACCTGTAATCTTTCAAAGTATTGCCTTTAAGCAGTTTACTGTGTGATAAAGATTTTAACCCAAAACCCAAAGATTTTTACTTTGTAATTTTACAACTAAATATGACTTTTATGCATTCCACAAGTCCAGTTGAGCTGAAGTGGTCAACTTGGCAGCAGAAATACATACACAGACTCTTTCTTTGATTATTAATGTTGTTTATTTATAGTTTCACCATTAAGTGTTTCATTAAATTTTCTTCGTAATGTAACTCAAGAAAATTTTATGAAACAGAAACACTAATATTATAGAATTATTAACCAGATATGTCAGAATTACAAATTAATAATATTATAACATTATAATATCTCTCTGATGGTTAAAGAACTATAAATGTAAATATCAAAAAGTAACATTATTGTTTTTCATGTTATATAATTTTTCTATTTTCAATTAATAAATGTTTTGTAGAACCATTTAAGTTGCTGTATAAAGTGCGTGGACAAGATGATGAAATTACCAGTCTTAGCTGGTGTCCACAGTTTGAAGTGGCTTTGAAAAAGTCATTGAAAGAGATGGACAAAAAAGTCGGCAAAGCAACAGAAAGAATGCTTAGAATAAGGCAAATTGATAATGAAAGTGATAACATTGGTGAAACAGAAAAATCACAACCAAACCACCAAACAGAAAGGTTAGAAGTATCAGGTGTAGTTAAAAACCTACCTGAGGATAGCTTTGATGAATCCGCAGTGGTGCAAGAAGATGATATGTTTGATATTTATAAAGATCATGAGGTTAATGAGTTTGGTCATAAAAAGTTTATATCTGAAGATGTCATTGTAAAAGTTAAGAAAGAGGAAGAACCACTAGACTATTTAGCTGAATGCGAGAAGCTCAGGGATGTTATTTTAAAAAGAAAGAATCAGCCTGAAGAGAGTATAGAATCGTTAGTGCAAGCTTTAGATAAAACACATGTTGATAATGAGAAAAGTGATGATGGAGCCTCTAGTAGCAACAAAGAAGTTACTGTTGCAACTGATGTTGAATCTACTCATATTCATAGGCATCTTTTAGCTACTATTGGAAAATATGGGTAAGTAAATGCTAGAAATAATTTCATGCTTCTGTATAAAAGTAATATTTATGCTATGCCTTGTATTCTGTATGAATAAGTATTAAATAAAAATATTACCTTCACCTAATGTGAGTATGATGATGATGATGATATTCTTGTATTTCTTTAATATTGATTGGTGCAATTTTCTTTTTAATCATATAAAAATTGCATCAATATTATTAAAACGTATTTTATTCAATTCAATTTATTATTGTACATTTTAAATATATTATTTTATGTATACAAGGTAGTAATTCGAACTTGATGTCACTTTCAGTGGTGTAAGAATTTGGTCTAAATCAGGTAAACAAGTGGCAACTTGCTTTGTGGCTTCATCAACTGGGAAAAATGCAAAAAATAAATCTCCTAGCTGGTCAACAATATTGTGGTACAAACCTGATATATTGCTCATAGCAGATGCAAAGAGTCAATTGTTGCAATGTAATCCTTTGAAAACAGACTGGTAAGTAAAATTGCGTTGTTAAATATTTGTGAATATCATAAAGAGAAAAGATAATATTTTAGTATGCAGTGCAGATATTGCTAAGTTTTTTCCAAGCTTCAATTAGCTACCTTATCTTCATTAATATTCCTTAGTCAAAGTAGAAGTGAATATATTAATTCAAAATAATACAGTTAATAATATCAACCCAGGACAAATCACACAGAATCTTGTCCCAAACAAGGCAGTACATACTTAATATACATAGAATACACAGAACAATTAAAACAATCATACTCATACATACACACATACATACATACTCATACGTACATACATACAGACATACAAACATACATACATACATACATACATACATACATACATACATACATACATACATACATTTGTATCGTACTAGAATCGAAACTTCCATACCATTGGAAACCTATGAAATCATCGGAAGTAAGATAGTTGTGCTAAACGGCGAGCCTCTGTTTTCTTTTTCTATAATACACCATTTTACTTCATATATTTTTTTTCCATGGTAATGAAATGAGACACCCGATAAGAGGATGATGAGCATGAGGCCAGGTCAGTCAGCCCATTGTGACAAATTCACCAGCAATTTATCACGATGGTTTTCAGGGGAACTGCGTGGAGGTCAACCTTACATAGTACATATATATATATATATAATTATATTGCAGCAAAAACAAGTTAGAATGGCGCATTGTACACACACTGTACAAACGTGGCTTGTACTGCATAGCGTCGTCTGCACCTCGATTACAAACGAGTGAATTATCTAAAGAGGATTACCCTGTATGGACCGTATCACAGGACCGTAACTTAATCTCCTACTCACTGGCTACACGGCAAACAATTGCAGTTCGCGCTAGTTGTGGAGGTTACATTTATGGCATACAACAATGCCCATACGACGCTGGGAAGTAAGGAATTATTTGTGTTATAGTAGTTAGTGAAACTATTTCAAGTTGTTTATTCATGTACCTTCTTAGAGTTTTCTATATTATGCATATACTCTATATATTATATACTGTTTTAAATTTAACGCGATCATTATTTATATACGTACAATACAAAAAATCATGGGATCTTACCACGTTTTATTTATTTCAATAGTGGCAACCAACGAATGCGTATGAAGGTAGACGAATATGTCTGCCCATAAACGATTTTTTAAACTGAAGAGCAGTGGATCATCTAACCGCTGCTCTTCAGTTACCCATGGTCATGGCGGTTAAAACAATGCCGAAATATCAGGCACTCAATAAAACTAAATAAAACGTAAGATTCAATGATTTTTCGTAATTGTAAACATTTTTATTATAAATGCGAATGTGTGTCCATTTGTCTGTTACCATATCACTATTGATATTGGCTATTATCTAGAATATCTTTTATCTAGAAAAAAGCAGATGATATTGCGGGTATCACCTAATATCTTCTAAAAATCTATATTTGATTGTTTGCTTGTATTTTTTAAACAGACTGCTTGGCCGTTGAAATCGTTAGATCTTAAAGTCTTTCTGAATACAGTGTTTTCCATGTAATATGGATAAACATATAAGCATCCTCATTATAAGATTTTGCTGTAATTTTTCACTAATTTTAATTTTTTCATTAGAATCGCTATAAGTGTTGGTGATGGTGCAGTCCGCGTGTGGGAAACTAAAGTATCAGAGGAGAATGATTCACGTTTGGAGTTCGGCCATGTGACATCATACTGGCAGAATGTGCAGGGCAAAGTGCTAACAGCAGCATGGCATCCTGTCAGAGAAAATTTACTTGCATTCTCTACTGCAGAATCGAGGGTAATTTGAATAATTTATAAATTATGTATGATTTAGCGGATTTATGATTTGTTTGGATAGGTCTTGGTATTTGACAAGGGATTTTTTAATAAAATGGGTTTGTTAATGGCACGGCGTGTATTTCAGAAGAGCACTTTACAGTAATAAAAACAAGAAAGGATTTGACTAATAAAGTGTTACCAGCAATAAAAAAATGTTGCCCACAATGATTACCAAATTTACATTAATTTATTTACAATATTGTAAATACTTTATGTGTTTAACAATAGTAAATACTTTCTCTAGGTCTCATTTTGTTTCTACTGTTTATTCAATTTTAATTGAATTTATTAAGCTATATTTTTAATATTTAGGAACAATATTAACAAAAAATAATAGATTGATGCTGATTGATAGACCGTAACCACTTATAGATCACTAAAATGTTTGTAAGTAGAACTTATAATCTGGCCAACAATATAATCTTCATTACAGAAGTCGAGAAATAGTGCTATATTCATTTTAATTGGATATGCTTAAATATGATATACACAGTAATGGCATACCCATTACTGTGTATATCATATTTAAGCATAATGCGTAGCGTAAATGCTTCTCTTATGTGATCTCAACTTGTTAGAGATAAGTCGAGATCACATAAGATTTAGATTGTAATAGGTTTTTTGTTTAGGAAATCAACTTTGAATTTTCTGACATAAAGTAAATTTTGTAATATGTCCTTTTTTTTCATTAGGTTGGTTTGATTGATACGAGCGGTAAAAATGAGAAGCCTGCTCGTGTGCTTCTGCCTGCTTTGAATGGTGGTGTATATTCTCTATGCTGGGGGGAGGAGAACAATTTATATGCGTGTGGAGGAGGAAGTCTGGTAGTATACAACACAAGCAAACCAGATGAAGGTGAGCCCTTACCCTCTAACTATTGCGACAAGTAACAGTGACTTTACCTTAAAATTATTTATGGACTTTATCTTTAGGTCTAAAAATTACGTGTAACGTTGTTTGTCCACGATGGACTTCTAAACTACTGAACCGATTGCAAATTACTGATTGAATTGCACATTGTGAGCAATTTGTTCCAACTTGAAAGATAGGGTTGGAGGATTCAATTTATAGTCGCAATATTATTTTATTGCAGATTATTTGTCAATTATTAGCCACAGCAACGCGTGGCCGGGTCTGCTAGTTTATCATAAAGTTATTCGGGTTAAAATCCGTTTCAGTATTAATAACTGACGGATGTAATATTATGTTATCTGTACTGATGGTAACTATTGAATGTCACATGTCAGTTTGTTAAATAAAACTCAAAATTCAAACTCATACTTAAAACTCACAATCTTTTATTCACATGGGATATTTAGACCTCTTATGCAACAGGCTTTTAGTGGGTAAGAGTCCGCCAGATGGTCTTTTGAAGATTTTTACACACGATAAAAAACAGTGTATTGGTGATGTCCACAGCGCCGGCACCGATAACCGTGAGCGTGGAAGGTCAGCAATATGAGTTGAGTACCGGGCGTTGGTACCCGCGGGCGATGCTCTGTGGAAGCGTGGGCGGCGCTGTGGCCGCGCTCTCACCACAACGACCACATACTCTACTCGCAGCCACATTTATCTTCAGGTCTGTATACTGACATTGCATGGCTTTACAGTACGCACATTAATGAGCGAATAGGCTTTCAAGCAAGAAGGAATATACCTATAAATGTAGACAAAGACAACGAATAAAAATCTGTTTTTGAGTACAGGCACTCCTCGACTTACGTCGTTTCTATTTCCGTCGAGCAATATTTTGACACTATTCCTCAAGCATACGTAAATTGTTTCTATTTTCGGCATAGGATGATCCTAATGTTGAGAGAAGTTTTAAAGTTAATAACAAAATTTGCGCAGCTTATCAGTGTTAACAAGACCTGTATAGCAAAAAGAAAGAAGCGAAGCAATATGGAATTGATAGTTTCTTTAAGCCAAAAGTTTAATTTATTATTACTCATTACATGTTAGTTTTATCATTACTTATTATTAAAATTAATAACCCACACATACCAAAAATAACTAGCAATTTCATAAGTGCATATATAATTTTACGTTTTTAATTTTGAGTCCATGTGGGTCCTAACTCTTGAGTTTTACATATGAAAAAAAATGTCGCGACTTACGTCGTTTCGATTTACGTCGCGTATTTCGAGAACCTAACATGCCGTAAGTACGAGAACTGCCTGTACTTTATATATTGTAATTTCTTAATTACAGTAAAATGATCCACACCATTGAGTGGCATCCGTTAGAAACGTCGAACTCGACTGAAGAATCTCCATTCAAGAATCTCATTGCCGTGTGTTCGCTAGATAAAAACAATTCCATTGTTATATTGGAATACTGTGACAAGGAAGGTAAGCGATAATTTTTTTTTTCTAAAAATATTTTTATTTTAATATCACATTGAGATGATTTCCTTGACCTTGAAGTATAGAATTGGAACATTGCTTGAATTCATTGCTGCTCAATTAAACGTTTTATAGAAGTGTAGAATAGAATAGGGTTGCATAGGACATGACAAAATGGGTTGAGAAAGGAAATCCGTTATCTAAGATTACATAAAATTTTAATCAAATATATAGGTGATAGAGTCAAAGTCACAATTATTTGTTTTATATATAAATATATATATACAACTCTATTGCCCTATTGTGCATGTAATTTTTTTATCACTGTCATTACCATATCCAGGTACCTATGAGGTTTATGAGGTTTTATGAGTGTTTGTTTGTTTGTTTGTAACTCAAATCTTTAAATTAACTAAAGATACACGATATATATATAAGATACCTTATCCCAAATGCTTCCAGTCAACCTTGTTATTGATTTATTTTTATTTCACATTATTCCTCGCTATATAACTACATTACATGTTTTATTTTAGATGGCAGTAAAGAATTACAAACGTGGAAAACACTAACTGGTCATAAGAATACAGTCTATCACGTGATGTGGAACCCACACTTAGATGGTCAGTTGCTCTCTGCCTCTCAAGATGGCACAGTTAGAGTGAGTTATTTTGTTATAGAAATTATTATCGTCATTATCATGAACTTATAAAACGCTCCGCTTATGAAAATATTTATTTTGACCCGACACTTTAGGCGTCGATTTCAACGGAACCGCTCTTTGACTCAAGTACATACAGTACGCTTGATTATAATACTTACTCTTTTTTAAAATACTTACGCTTTCTTTAACGTTGTATTCATTTATTTATCATTATGTATCGTAGTTCTTCATGTTCATTCTCACTAATAACATCATTCATTCTTCATCTACCGACTTTTTGTGTACCGATTTATTGTCCCTGCTTTCACTCTGCGTAATTTAATTTGTGGCTGCTAAAAGAACTGTGTCGGTGAGGATTCCAGGAGTGATCCAACGGCCCTACACTACAAACTTTCTCTGGCATTGGTATGTCAAAGGATTATTTTAATGTTAATTATTTCACTAATAATAATATAGGTTCGATACGACATCGCAGGGCTGATGTATGTTTTCACGCTTTAACGACTGAACCAATTAGCATGAAATTTTTGCACGGAGACGCACAGATACAGACTACTAATTATTGTGGTCAATCAAAGTCACGCAGTTCACAAATATCTCATCTTATGCATAAGCATAGATATAAATCTATCTTATTTTTAAACTTTGCGTTTAGTACATATTATTACTATGGTTAAACTGGTTTTAACACGAATAATTTTATTGTAAATGTATGGTACCTTTCTAGACGTTTCGACTAGGTTTCACTAGCGACCACTCGTGTCCACGGCTATATTAATAACTTTTAAACTATAACCTTACGGCCGTTTAACTATATTAGTAATTTATCTATTTTGATAGATTAATAATAATAATGATATATAGGTATACATATCATCATCATACTGTGTATTAATTAACACTTACAATAGAAATGAGTACAATGCATATTTTTTTTGTTTTCTAGAGCGTTCGGCCTGCTAGGTAAACCCTATGTTATAATTGTTAATATTATTTAAAGAAAATTTTCAAATTTAACATAGTAAAAACCAAAAATTATTTATTTAGGACATTTTAGCTGCTTATGAATGTCAAGGTTTTTGTAACAAAGTCTTATTTCAGGTTTGGAACGTGGCTGAAGATGTTTGTACAAATATATTCGGCGGGCACACGCACACCGCACTAACGGCCTCGTGGTGCGCCTACCCGCATCTCCCCACCAAGGTGGTGTCCGGTGGTACGGAAGGGTGCCTCCGGATATGGGACATCAACGACTATCCCGCAGAGTCTTATACAGGTAAACAATTAATTTTATTTTAATTATATTTGTTTTTCTTCTGTTGTGTTTAATTTCTCAATATATATGTATATTAATAGATTTTTACTTCAGCCGCGATTTGATATGGCAAAAGTTTTGATTGTTTAATTTGTTTTTTGGAGGTGATGCGAAGTAACGCCTATATAAATATATAAGTATTGTATTCTTTTTTATATTATATATAGTTAATAATGATTATTACTTAAATATATGAATATATATATATATATATATATATATATATATGTTTCATGTAATATTAGAGCATACATTTAAACGTTAATATGTGCTCAGAATTTTGCCAATTAACAGAAAAATATAAGAGGATAATTAAAGGATTTTATAGGAATATGAAGGAGGGGTCGATGGTACTATTTCTAGTGTTATGGGATTTTTAATGTCAACTGCAGTAGAATCCATATTTATCTATAGTTACTTACTTAATACTGACTTGGCTTTATTTCAGAAATTAGACATGAAGTAAAGCGCGAGAGGAAAAGATATCAGAAGAAGGAACCAAAAGAGTTAGATGATGAGGAATCGAAAGAAAGGGTCGCCGCTACACTTGAAACCAAAATAAAGGGACCAAAGAAATTTTTATTGCCAATAGAAGCCAGACAGATGTCCAAATGCAACGTACAAGCCGGAAGGATGTTACTCAATAAATATCTCAACAATAACTCCAAATCGAATGATGTCGTTCAAAGCAATGGCTGCGATGAGGCGGTGGATACAGATTTTATAAAAATATTTGGCAATATTAATGAGGTTAATGAAGTATTAGATAAAGAATGTAAGTATTACTAGACGTAATAGTTTTACTTATTTTGTTTTTTTTATCTCTGAGACAATTTTGACATTACCAATGTATTAGCTTTTTGTAATTTTTAAATAGTGTTGTGGCACAATTGAAAATTTATATTAATTATCGATTTATATAGGTATAACTCAAATAATATATAATAATACAATTGTTGGTGATCCTAAATAAAATAAAAACAAAAATAGCATTAACACAAAATTAATTTGAACTTTTCCAAGTATTAATAAATGATAATAATCCCACAACAATGGACAATTCACACAGCGCCATCTAGACCCAAGTTAAGCTAGCTAAAGCTTGTGTTATGGGTTATCTAGTAAGATAACTGATAGAAATATATAGTTTTTTTTTTCTTTGTAAATGCATAAAACACCCAGACCAATAATACTAAAATCATACTCATGTATACAAATGTTTGTGCCGTGCGAAGGAATCGAACCCGCGACCATCGGACGTAAAGCGGTTGGCTAGACCGCTAGACCACCGAGGTCGTCAAATATTGTTAGGGTTGTTGTATCAAAATATATATAGATCGCAAGTTCGAGTGCTTCTATTTCTTTATTTTTTTTTTTGTGAAAGATTTGTTTATTATAGTAGAATATGATATTTTAATTACAGTGGATAGACATTTAAACACTCATAACTTAGAGGGGTGGATAATGTTGAATTTATTCCGCGGCCACATCGACACCGTTATACAATTCGCCAGCAAACGTGACCTGCTCTGCCCTTTCTTACTAAGCGTTGCACCGTGTGTCTCCTTAAAGTAAGATATTTTTACATAACGGCCGAATAATTAATGTGTGAAACATTTCAATACTGTCTTTCACAGTTAAGTAATTAAGAATACAAAAAAAATTAAAGATGTAAAAAAATACTTTGTAACATTTTTGTTTCAATGGCTATATTTGTGTGCCTATTTTGCCTCCAGATATAGCTTGCTTTGTAAACTATATTGCAGTTTGAGGGTAGCGAAAGGAAGCGTAATAAATACTCTTCTAGGAAAGGAAGTCTAAATAAAATATAATTAATAGGTAGACTTAAAAGGATGTAGTGTGCGTGGATATCTTAGTCTCACCTTTTTCAAGCAAGCTGCTTTGCTTTGAAGCTGTGTTAAGGTTGTCAAGTGTTGATTAGGCAGTGAAAGAACAGTTCTAGATGTTAGTGTTCTGGAATGGCATTACAAGAGTGGTATCGCGGGTGTCACATGATAACGTGATAGCCATAGCCATGTTCATGTATATAGGGATGGTTATCACTTACCATCAGGCCAGCTGATGGTTAGTTTGTATGACATAAAATCTATTCTATATTTTATTATTATTAAATCTTATCTATGTGTCAAGATTTTGAAAATATTTCCTAAATTCTATATCCTATAGGTGTATATGTAGTTGGTGATATATATATATCGTTAATAGTAATACCATACTTAACCGAAAATGTAGAATAAAGTAACTTATTATTTTACAGTTCAATAAAAACTACATTGTTTCCTAACACAACACTGTTTAATAAATGTCTTATTGTTTTCATAGATATTGGAAAGATACAACACAACTGTATTTATCACAAATTGATAGAGTTATAGCTAAAGGCGAAGGTGATAAACTATTCGGTGAGTGAATAAAAAATATACTTTATTTCCATTAAAACCTACTATTTAAAAATCTATTGGTATATTGTTATTGAATCAACGATTACAGCTTTTAACTATAATTTGCTATATTAAATATGGTATAGATACAAATTTTAACAAGCAAGAGCAAACCCTATAAGAATAAAAAGATCCACTGCCGGCAGGTCTTGCATTTAATATATATTTTCCACGATTTTTCAGATAATAAGATTTATGGGGGGCCGGTGTACCGCAAAGCGGCCACATTACTGAGTATTCACGACATAAAAGGTGCTGTTGATGTGCTAGCGGAGGCACAGCTATTTAATGAAGCATATATTCTATGTAGAACAAGGTAATGTTCTATTTCTATAATCTAGAAAAAATATGTAATGTTTGTGTTTGTATATAATGACACATGGACTGTAGTTTTTTTTTAAAATAAATCAATTATGTCTTGGGCTAGCCCCCAGTAATCTCCGAATATATGTGTTTATTATATTCTTCTCAATATAATAGTCAGTCATACGGCTAGAGAGAAATAAAGTATTTAGTCAATTAACATGTTACGTCTTTAGGAATTCCCGAAATCTTGCAATTTTAGGTAATATTTAGAACATCATAAAAATAGGCTCTGTTATATGACTAATATGTTATGAACTATGTCATTTTAGATACATGGACAGTATAGCTGATCAGATATTGGTGCAGTGGGCTCAGTTTTGTGAAAGCAACGGAGTTTATAATATGGCTGCCATATGGTAAGTTTTATATTCACAGATGTATTATATTTGGAGTGAGTTCTGTTAAGTTATGAATGTAAAAAAACTTTTTTATTTTATTTCTTATATAACTGGCGTGACAAATAATCTAACGGCATACCTGATGGTATACGCCGTCGTCTATTTACATGAATACTACGGATCTCATGTCATTATGTGAGGCATCAGGAAATATAAGGGGGACAACAAGCATGTTGTACCACACATATCTTGTTAATTACCATTTTGAAGGAGGTAGATCTCTGAACCCTGTAAAGTAAGATATTTCAAAATAAGTCATGACTTACGCTGTTTTTTCTATCGGTGCATTACATTGATTTCCATGTATAGAGTTGGTAATGTGACGTTAAATAATAATAGACCTTATACCTTTTAGTTTTTAAGTACATTTAATTACTACAGTGTAAAATCTATATTTGTAAATTGCTTACTGCTTTAAGAGTATAATAAAAACATTTCTTGCAGCTATTTAGCTCATGGAAATCTACTTCAAGCTGCAACTGCTCTTGGAAGATTAAACAAAGAAGAATGGCTCAGTTTAGCAACAGAAATTGCTAAAGTGGCTGGTCAAACTAAATTCGCCGAGCATGTATCTGAGAAACGAGAACAGATAAAAAATAAAACTGGCACAGTGGATACGGACGAGACGTTAGAACAGTTACCTACGAGATTTGAACTTTTAATGAAAGAAAATTTACAAAGTGGTAATGAAGTCAGCAAGGACGAGAAAACTGCCAATGGTGTTTAACTTTTAATTTTATGGTTCAGAGATACCTCAAGTTTGATGTATATGTCATTTTAAGTTGTGATATTTTTTACATTGCATGTTGTGGTTGTAAACCATGTCATTTTTAGTAGTCTCTAGTTTTGCCATGTATCTTAGATTACTGTTACTGAAGTGGCGAAGTATTGTCTAATAATGATCTCAGAAATCATGAGCATGTTCTTATTTGCTATTAACGTTAATCAAAACTTAATAAAAAACATTTAATATTTTCATCCTATACTAGCATATAAAATAATATACTACTATATACTTGTGGTACTTATGTATAACTTTTGAACTAGTTGTTTCAGAGAGATAAAGTCGCACGCAATCTGTTATATTATCATAGCAATCTTCTATAATGGACACACCATAAATGAAACATTAGAAGTTTCTAACGCCAGTCCAGTGTATTGTGGATTAAGCTGTGCGTTAATTTGCTAGACTCATAAATTAGAAAAATAGAATCGTTTTATATGTATACATTCCTAAAATACTTTGAAATAAAACTTATTCTTGTTATAATAGTAATATTTGTATATCACCGCTTCTAGCTTAATTACTGTTCATGTTAAAACATACTTTTATTCAGTGGATTGTTTTTTACTGTAAGAAGTTGTTAACTTATCCTATTACATATATTTTTTTAATCATTCTCGTTTTATTGTATCCTGAAACGATATTATAGTTACGTAACGAGTTTTAGAACGAGTAGGTAATAATCTGTATTAATATAGATTGATTCTTAACCCATGATCTATTTGTGGTATACTTATTTCATTTATGCTGTAAAAGAGAACCTTTGTTTTTATTAGTGTTGTACTTACTAAGGGTATTGAATTAACCGCCACTGTTAGCGCAGGTGAGTGAAAATCACAATCACTCCCTAGTTAGAACCTGGATATATGTGTCCATGTGTTTAACACAATATATTCTTTACAAATCACATATGAGAATTAAAAACAGATATAAATATCAATCGTTTATTTAGTAGATACTATTTTTAATTAAAAGATCACATCAAATAGTATTTATAAAAGAGATAATATTTGGAGAATATTAACAATATTTTGTTGTATATTGGTTATTTAGAAGAAATTTCCGACAATGAATAGCCATATAAAATAGCGATTTACACAACTTACATCATGTGCAAGTGGAATGCTAAATTATATTTACAATAATAAATATTAGATATTTGTATTTAACTAACTATAATATCATTAGAAAATTAGGCACCATATTATAAGTACAAAAAAAAATAATATCTAATAATACTAATATTGTACGATATTTTGAGACAACAATCACATTCAATGGCAATATGTATCATTATTACGTCTAACAATTTCCTTCGTAAATGCTATAGGAATGTTTGTAGCATTCAGTCTTATTAGCATTAGGAGTTATGGCTTTGAGTTAGCTATTAATAATAATGTTTATATTTTTGTATTATTCAAGTGTTATTTTCATTGTTCATTAATTATCATTAAAATTATAATATAATTTTATAATTTACATGCTCTTCAATGTTTATAACCAAATTATTAAGTCCAGCTTCACAATAATTTTAGTAACAATCAACTAAAATTGTTAATAATTTCAATTTTAATAATATTTTATTCCAATATGTGTCGTCAGTATTTAGTCAACCCACATGCTCTGTGGGGTCTTCATTTTCTCGGTTCGAATCCTTACCTCTTTTCTTGCAAATGTTTACTAACTTTGCGTTAATTTTCTTCAATTTCTGATTCTCTTTCATAACGTCGGTTAGCTGTTGATTCTGTAAATAATGTAACAATTATTAAGAGACTGGTTTACACTTGATAATATAAATAATATACACCTATTTAAAGTAACCTACAAGGAATTGTGTCATTTGCTCTTTGAACTTTGATAGATATTACAGTATAGATTATATGACAAAACTTTCTTTTATATTCGTATCTAAAAACGTGCAGAGTAATCAGATCGAAAAATTCTTAAATAATTGTAGATCTTTCAGAATATTATAACTTAAAATCTTTATGTTTTCGAATAATTTAAACTACTTGCAGTAACATTTTAGTTGCATAGACTTGCAGTCGACAGTACGAGTCCTATGATCAATATGTTATGCTCCATTAAATAATCCTTGTTTTCTCTGCGAGGAATGGCTTATTAAGTTTTAATATTCATTAGATATAATTTAAAGAACGTCTTTGAGTGCGGCTCCAAGAAAATAATATAGTTAACCTGCACTATAGCGCTGCCGGTGGCGATGTACATGGGCGAAGGAGTGGCACCAACACCAAGCGAGCTCAGCTGCCGCTCCAACGAGGCCTTCTGCTGTGTCAGTCTGTCCACCGCCTGTGTTATTTAAAAACAAAACGATAATGGAGACATTCAATGGATATACAGCAGTATAGTATTTATTCTTCATTTCATAATAGTTGCATGCAATACATACTTTTACTTAGCAAGTGGAACAGTCATTTTATATGTGACGGACTTTTTACTCAACGGTCAATGTGCTAATAAACGACTTTATTACATAGCGTCGCTGTTTATTGCTTTACAAAAACTATTTTTAGAACGCAAAAAACATAAGTTCGGAAGTAAATCGCTAGTGAGACATGCTAGTTTTAAGCAACAAATAATTAGATAAAAGAGGTATCTATAAACATAAGACAAAGTAGCTGCTTTTCTCCACTGACTTCTAAACCACGCAATGGATTTTGATACAGAGTTAACTATAATATGTAGAACTTCTATATGTACTACATATATGACTGGCATTACATTCTACTGCCCAAGGACGTACCCCTTGGGAAGCCGAGGTGCGTCGCTAGATAGATTATAAATAGAATATAATTGCTGTCTACAATGTCTACATGCATATTGGAATTCTTGTTCGAGGAATACAAACCATTTTCAGACGTTTTAATTCTCGGGATTGTGTATCGTCGCTCTGCCGTGTACTGTTATCTCGCTCTACTTGATAACTTAGAAAATCTGCAACATGCACAAATAAATTAAAATAATAGGGTGGACCTTTTATTTTGTAGATATTTATACAATTTAGAATAGAAAAACAAGTCGACATATTATTATAACATGTGTAACATGTCATACGATAAAGAAATGTCTACGGTATAGAGGATGATAAGATGAGAATGAGGTCAGGTCAGTTAGCTTATCCTGATGGAATCACTTGATTTCCAAGGATGTATGATTCTTAGGTGTTTCTTTTTTTGAAAAATTCCCATTGTTGTTTTGCTTCCATAGTACAAGCTTTGCTTAATTTGGGATTGGATGTCATACTGTGAATTATCCAGGGTTATATATCGTACTTTTAATTCGAATTCATGTGTGGAAATCTGCTGGATGCAACTAGTTACAAAATAATTACCGTCACTCGTTTCCGTGGTGGCGTCATTAACGTCGGCTATAGAAGAATGGCGGTTCTGGTCATGTAAACTCTGCCGTTTCTTGCGAGTAGACTGCAACAAACTGCTGTGATCTTCTTCAAACTCTTGCAATTTCGCCTGAAATAACATAATGTAAAGTTACTTGTAATGAAATTACTGGGTCCAGAGTCTTGTGTGATGACCGTAGCCGTAGTGCCATCTAAATCTACAACGGCCCATTGTTAACATTTTAAATAATAAATTCACAGGCACTATATTCTTGCTTATATCACTGCTATCGTTACACTACCCTACATTATACAATATTATTTTTGAGATCCAATAAAGATTATTATTATTATAATTAGGATAGTAATTCCAAATGTACTAAAAAAAATTCTGAAAGTGAACAATACAAGCAATGTTTCATCAAAGTATATGAAAATATTTTTACTTATTGTTAAAGTTTTACTTATTTTTAATTTTGTTATTGTTGTTACAATTTTTTTTATAGTAATCACTCTTTTAGTAACCAGTTTAGAAACCATTACTTTACTGAGCGCTTTACTTATAAATACTATCTATAAAGTAGGTTTGTTATTAGTTAAACTTTCCATATAAACTATTACAATATCTCTAAAATAATCTTTAATTATATATATTGTGTATGTATAGTTAAATTGAAAATGTACCTCTAACATTGTCTTTGTTTCTTTTAATTTTCGTAGCTGTTCGTCCTTTTCCTTTAGGTATATGCCGCAAGTCTCACACTCCTCGTCTAATTCCTTGCACCTCAATCGAAGTTCCTCTAACTCGCGTTTGTATTCACTCAATTCTTGTTTTGTAGCTTCTAGCTCTCTGTTGATAAAAAAATAACATTATAGAAAAATTTATCATTCCAATGTTAGGCATAATCTAATTATAGAAATAAATAAAATTGATGTGTCTGTTTGTAATTTAGAGGGCTCTCTGTACTCGCTCCCATTTTCGTCCGTCCGTTTAATCTGTAAAGGCCATCTAGAATATGTCCGTCAACAGCTAATTCGAAAATTCAATATTGATTATTCAATTAATTTTAGCCACATATAGAAGTCAGTACAGATGACAATTTTAGTCGAAAAGAACTGGTAGGTAACTCAATTTAAAGTTAAATTGTTGAATCTTACAAAAACAGATTAGTTTTGCATCTTATACTCGCATACTAATGATCTCGTTGTTCACACGGTAAGGGTCATTATAATGTTTTATACAAAAGAAATATGAAATCGCAATCAAACCTATTGTCCTTGCCAGAATGTTTATCTATATACTTCTGCATCTTGGCGATCGTCATTTTTAATTCTTGTTTCTTAAAGCGCAGTTCCTCAATAGACTTTGTTAATCGTTTGTTCTTTTCAACCTCAGCGTCATACGACATGCGGTCCACGACCACCGAATGGAGATTGCTCCAATCTAAAAGAAAATATATTGTTTTATCATCTTTTTTTTGTACTTTATATTATATTATCAACTTATCACCCATTATCAACCCCAATCTTTGAATTTCTCGGCTTGATCTATATTATAATATCCATGTATTATACATTTAAACTTTCCACTTTAATCACTCTATTTGTTGCTAAAAACTGCGTTAAAATCCGTTCAGTAATTTATAAAGATATGCAAATAGACAGCGGTGGCGACTCTGTTTTATACTATGTAAAGTTATAGTGTATAGAATATTTTTTTTTTTACAAATATGTACATGCACGAGTACAGATGTCACAATATGGTACTAAAACCATAAGGAACTCCAGGGAAACTAATAACGTAATATAGACAGAATAACTGTAAGCACGTAAATAAAATTATTCTTATCTTTTTATTAGTATTTACATGCAGGATTATCAATGAATGAGACAAAAATCGAGGAGTAAATATTGTAAAAAAAAAAGTATTTACTGACAAATCTTTTATGTTTTGCTTACATAGTACAGATATTATTTTAATATTTTTTAATGTTTCCCTAAAATACTATTTAATAAATAAATTTCAATTTACAGATTCAGAATACAACTTAAGTTACCTTCATCTGTGTTCACTGCAACATTGACGCATGTACTCTTGGCACTGTCTTGGAGTGTTTGATTGGGATTTACACATTTTAATTTTTCCCTCAACTCACTAACTACAGTCTGGAAAAAACGTTTTTAAAGATTAAAATTACACAGTATTAAAAATGATTACGATATGAACATTTTTGTATCGTATTTCAGTTTTTATAGTGATACTCGAAATGTACTTTATTTCTAGTATCACTATAAAATCAAAAGCATTTAATGTATTGTAAATTTTTACAATAAAATGTCTGATACATTTCATAAAATATTATTTGTAAATATATATGATATGTATACAAGTAGCAGAATTACCTCTAACGCAGCCTTCTCTTTCTTTAGCCTTGTACACTGGCTCTCCCTCTCGCGCAGATACTCCGCACAAGTGTCGCACTCTTCGTCCAATTCTTTGTAGCTTTGCTTCAACTCTTCTAACTCACGTTGGCAGGATGCCAATTGATCTCTAACTTTACTTAATTCACTGTTAGATACATTTTTACTTGACGTATCCTGCGCTTTTAAGTCGGAAGCGTCACTGGACTTGGTGGTATCTAAAAGTAAAGTTAATATATATATAATATAAATAAATAACCCGGGACGACCTCGGTGGTCTAGCAGTTTAACACACCGCCTTACTTCCGGTGCTCGCGGGTTCAATTCTTCGCATGATACAAATATTTTGTATTTATGAGTATAATTGTTTGAATTTATCTGAGTGTTTTCTATATATATTGTGAATTAAAAAAATATATCAGTTTCTTAGTTTTCATAATACAAGCTCTGCTTGGCTTGGCACTAGATGGCGCTGTTTGAATTGTACTGGAATATTAATATTATTAGTTGTCTAGTACCCAATAGTGACACAACGCTCGCACATCTGGTCCCAAGCTAAACAGTTCTTAGCTTGGGACTAGATGGCGTTGTGTGAATTATCCAGGGATATCATTATACCAGAAACAAAGATGGGATACCAACCAGTGGCTGCGCCGGTACGATGCAGGTCGTACGAGCTCTGACGCCGCTGCCGTCGTTTTGCCGCGTTCTGATCTTCTGAACTCTGTACACATAATATTTTATAATTTAGATTTAAAAAAAGTACAAATGTTAAGCTACTGCTACATATATAGAAAGTAACATACCTGATCATGAGCTGATAGTAAGCTGTCACGTCTGAAATCAAATAAGTTAAAATAATTATATTACAATGCTTCTAAAAACATCTATATATTTAATTCAAAATGCTTAATATTAAAAAAAATTTAATCATCATCACATACATGAACAGATGCACAGTAAATTTGTAGTATAATACTATTTACTATAGATATAGTAAAATATGAATTATCAACAAACATGACCGATTTGGTCAGTTTATAATAATAAATAGATGGTACTGGTTGCTTTGTCCTTTATTATTATATTTATTGCAATTTCTCATTACACTGTTCTGTCATGGAGCCATTGTTTTTCAGAAGACATGTATATATTTTAAATTTAGCTCATGAAATTGTATTAATGTTACTTTTAAAATTATGACGTTATCTTACCCTCTACTAAGTCTTAAAGGCGTACTTCTATTGGAGCTATCATCATCCACATCCATAAACAGATCGTCAGGCTTTGCGCGCGACCCAAATACAGTGTCCGCCTTGTTCTGATCTGGAAGTAGAAATTATTAAGGTGTCAATTAGCCGATTGCGAATTGCAAATAAATTTAATTTCAGCAAGAGTTTATATTATGTATAATTGAATAATATTTTTTTCTACCAAAGAAGTGGTGACGACAGCATAACACATCAACTACAAAATAGCTACTGGGATGAATTAAATTAAAAAACAAAAATGGATTTAGCTATAGTTAACGCGAGTTGCAGGTTACTACGTCAATACAGTAAAAAATTGTTGTTTTTATTATAGTTACCTTCGAGGTACTCTTTGTTTTGGGAGATCGGTCGTTTAGAATCATACATGCTTTGCCTCCGGCGACGCGTACCCTCGACGGGCGTATGGCGATCGATGGCCTCCAATTCTGCCTCCAACTCTGTAATGCGAGCCTGAACAAATAAAACGATATTAATCATCATAGTATGTTCAAGACTGTGCAACTGCATTTTAGATGTATTTTGAACCTTCATAACAATATATCTATAACTTTTTTGATAAATACAATATTTTTTTACATTCATTCATGCTCAACTCAATTTAAATTGAGAATTGACGGGAAAAAATTCAGGGCACTTGATGCAACACGATGAACTTATGAATAATATTATCGAAGGAAAAATAGAAGTAAAGAGGGGAAGGGGAAGGCCCTTATATCAAGCAGATTAAGAAAAAAAATCGTTTCGTATCTATCAACTAAAGAGATTGATGGCAGATAGTGGAAAATGGCAAGAGCTCCATCGTCGAGAGCGCGGCTCTTAAATTACGAATGAAACAAAAATTTTATAAAGAGTCAAACTATTCTAAGTTTCTTTAAGGGGTCTTCCTATGTGATGGGTTGAAAAAATCGATTTTTTTTTTTTTAGTTTTCATAAATTGCTCATTAACATGTCTATATACGGTAGTATAAGCTTTTAGAAAATTCGAAGTCGTTTTAAAGATACAGCAGGTAAAAGAAAGAGCGGTTCGGAGCGGTGAGTTGGCAGTTAGAGACCGGGCCTATTGTGTACCGTCGGCTTTATACCTGGCCTCCCTTTTATTAATATATTTGTTTATACAAGTTTAGACACGTTTCTACAGACTTAAACAGAAAAGGAGCAGGTAAACTTACTGATAAAGTTATCCAAGAAATTACAAAATTCTACGGATTAGCAATTCGACGCCATCCAGATTCGCTTGAAGATATGAGAAAGGCAGTTTGGGCAACGTACTATCACAAATGTTCTTCTGATGAAAACCCTCAGCATCAATTTTGTCCAGAAGGCGAAGACAGTTTGTATGGCGTAATAGATGAAGCTAATAATGAACTGGACCAATTTCATCACGATAAACCACCTCTAATTCCGCAAGTCCAAGAAGCTATCAAACCGGTTTTCGAAGATTTATCGAAAGACGAATTATTAATTCGTTGTTTAGGAGCAGAGACACAAAACAATAACGAATCTTTGAATTCTTTGATTTGGACTTTCGCTCCTAAACATCTTCATTCTGGTCCCAAAGTTGTTGAAATTGCTAGCTACTTAGCAGTTATTATCTTTAATGAAGGTTTTCAAGGTATTTTAAAAGTTATGTCGATTATGGGATGCCCTGTTGGTCGTGAAGCCCAAGCGTATGTTGAGAAACGGGATGAAAAGCGAATCTTACGCTCTGAGCGGCGCGTAAGTGATGTCGTTAAACAAGCCAGGATTGACTCAAGAGCTGAACAATCTGCTTTAAAAGAGTTTCACGAGGAAGAGGAAGGAATACTCTATGGACCAGGCATCGCCGATTGAGAGTAAGTTGATATTTTAATAGTTTTTAACGGACTTGAAACTTTAAACGCGTTTTTCTCAAAACTGTGTTTTTCAAACTTTCCTCCATTGTATCTCAGAAACGGCTGGACCGAATTACTTGAAATTTACGGGGCACACTCAATATATGTAAACGCATGGAATCGAAAATTTTCAAAACTTCGATTTTTTTATAGCAGTTTTTTTAAAAAAAAACGCCTAATTTGCAACTTTTATTTCAAATGTCTATCAAAAATCCAATTTTTTTTATATTCATTTGATTATAGGTCATTCCGTGCTTTTAAGCCTACAAATTAAAACGCCGTTTTTTTTTTTTTTTAAGATAAGCCGATCAGCCGGAATCGTGGAGGAAGTGGGAGCTCTTTTTTTCGAGGCGGGGGTGTTCAGAGCGCTGTAACTCTAGTTTGACTGAATATTTTTAGCTGAAATTTTATATTTATACTGTCCAAATATGTGTTAATAAATGATAAAAAACTTGAAGCTCTAAATATTTACTGGTCGTAGAAAAAATATCCTAAAATATCCCTAAAAAACAGGCCGTCACATAGGAAGACCCCCTTAAATGTCCAGTTCTCTGTAATGTCTTCAAATGTACTCTGTTTTCCGCATTTCGTTTAGTTTTCCACATTGTGGGCCATTGTGCATGTAAAAATTGTTTATATATGTATTTGATTATGTATATAATGCTTTTATATAATATAATTTAATTTTTCTTAACAAATGTTACTATACCTGCAATGCGTCTTTAGTGTTTTTCATAATTTCAATTTCATCCCTGGAAGCTTTTATATTACTTTGCATATTTTCACATGATTGCTGTAAAGTTGCATTTTTGTTTGTGAGATCTTCCAGTTGTTTGCCGATTTCATTTAATGCTATATCATCATTTTCCTTTTGTTTTTGAAGTCTGAAACATGTATACATTTAAGAGTAGAGTTATATTTATTGTATCAATACTAATAATAAGTAACTTCAATATTGTATCTGTTTATATTTCTTTTTCTATACTATCCTTCCAATTGGCTCAATATTTTTACCCACGAAAAAAGTAAACAAAGTCATGAGACAATATTTACTTATTGTTCTATTTGGTTATAGTTCATTCATAAATTATTCTTAAGTTTTTTGCCCCTTTCTTATTGTTTAATATATAAAACTATAAAAATTATCGTAATTTTATTCTGTAAGTGTGAACATGTCAAATATTCTGCACATAGCAGAAATATGTAGTATATATTTAAAATCAGAGACTACACAAAAATTATTACCTTATAATCATCTTGCTTTGTATTTGTGCCGTTTTCTCATGGGTTTTGATATTAATTTCCAGTCGCGAACAATCTTTGCACTTCTCATCAAACAGCTCTTTCAATTGGATATTTTGTTGCAGTAAAGATTTCGCTTCCATTTTCAATGTTTCAATTATGTTTACGTTCTCTTTAACAGACTCTTGTAGTATTAGAATATCAGAAGTGACTTTTTCCAATTCTATTTTATTTTGTTGTATGATCTCGCTAGACTTAGCCAATTCTAATGCACAATTATCCTTCTCTTCTTTTATAATTTGGTTTACAGTATTCATATCATTTATTTCTTGTCTCAGGATGGACACTGTGTTTGTTAGTTCTAAAATTTGATTATCTTTTTCAGTTAAATTGTTCAGGTTCTTCAGTTTGAGTTCACTTTCAACATTTTCTATAGAACACTGCTGATTTACAATACTCTCTTTTAGTAATTTTATTTCGTCTGTCAATTTACCTATCAAATTCAAGTTAATTTCATTTTCTTCACTTTTGCTTTTATATATGTTGTTCAAATCTTCATATAAGTTGTTCTGAGTAATCAGATTATTTTCCTTTTCAGTCAAATCCTCCATTATATTTTTGTTGATTGAATGTAATTTCGTATTTTGTGCAATTAGTGCCTCATTTTCATTCATTTTGGAAATTAATGTTAATCTGACTTCTTCAAGTTCTTGCAGTGCACTCTCTGTACCATAATCTGTATTTTGTCCTTTACATTGTTCAATTAAATAGTCAAAAATGTTTGTAATATTTAAAGTGGAACATAAATTAAGATCACTGCTACATATTATATTATGTTTGACTAACTTTTTCCATCCATTGCGAATGACATCATTTAGTTCTTGTTCTTTCTTTATTATATCCAGTGTAACAGCATTACTTATTTCATGAACTTTTTCCTTTTGTAATTTAAGTAAATTGTATTCATTTTCTTTGTCCAATAGTTGACTTTTCATTTGCAACAAATTGTCATTAATGTTGTTAAGCTCTTTGGTGATAGATTTAACATGTTCTTGTGATTTTGTGTATTCATTCATTATTCTAGTTAAATCATTTTCATTTTTGGCAACAATATTATCAATTACAATTTCAAAAATGTTTAAACTAGACAAATTGAATTCTTTATCAAGTACCTTCAAAATATTTTCCCTAAATAATGTTACTACTTTGTTGTTCTTATTGGTTTCTGTAATTTTTGGTATTTCTTCTTGCAATAAATGTATGTTCTTATGTATCAATGATATGGTGTCTGTTACAGCGTTCAGCTTTATATTGTTTGTTTCGAAATCTTTACTTATTTTAGAACACTCAGTTTTTAAATCTTCTACATGAACTTCCAGTTCCTTTTTAGATTTTTCATAAATTTTTATGTTATTAACTAAGTTTTCTACATCATTGCTATGTTTTGTAATAAGGTAATTATAAAGCATTTTCATTAAATCAAATATTTTTATATCACATCTAATATCTTCCTTCATTGCTCCAGTAACCTCTAAGTAATAATGTATACATTCATTTTTATCGTGATTGTATATATCATTTGAACATTCTTCTGGTATCTTTGGCATGTTTAATTTATGTAATTGATCCACAGTTCCAAAATCTTTTGAAGTGAAGAAGTTAGAATCACTAATACTAACATCCAAGTCCATATTTTGTTCCATAGATAAATTATTCCGGTCCAAGTGTTTTTTAATGGTAGTAACATCCTCTGTTAGTTCTTTACAATCTTCTCTACTAGCATGTAGTTCATTTTGTAAAGTACAAATTTTATTATATCTAGATGAGGAGTCAGACTCACTAAGACTCCTGTTCAGCTTTGAATGTACTTGTGTTACATTATTCACATTCAAAGATTGGATAAAATTTTCTTTTTCGGCACATTGAGGACAATTTTCATAATTTACTTTATTATTCTTATCGACCAAGTATTGTAATTCAGAACATTTATCAGTTAATTCCACATTTGTATTTTTTACTATTTGTAATTCTTTATTGAGGTCATCAGCCTCAGTAATATTTTCCATTATCTGGGTTGATAAGCTATCATTTTCTTTTTGAAGTTGCTTGAGCATAAAATTTTTCATATTTAATGTTTCGGAAAGTTTAGCTATCTCGTTCATCTTAAGATTATACTCCTTCTCTAAATTATTAAATTTTCGTACTAATGCCTCCGTTGAAGGAACTTCTAATGAAAGATTATTTAACTTTTCTTCAACAATGATTTTATGTTTATTCATATTAGACAAGTCTTGTAACAGTATTTCAATTTTTTCTTCCAATTTGGTTTGTTTTATTTCATATTCCATATTTTCTATTTTGTACTGTTCACAACCCTCACATGTTTTGTTCATATTATCAATGACAGAAGTTTCACAATTAATAAATTTAATTGGACTACTCTGTGAATCCATTTTTGACACATCTCTGTTCAAAGTTACTTCCTCGTAAATATTTCCATTGCTCGACGATATTTTAGTTTTTAGCACATTGATATCGTCAGGCTGTGTGATTTCACTTGTTTGACAAGCTACTTCGTTAGTAAACACAGTTAAATCTAAACATGTTTGATCATGGTCACCCAACAAAGTATTATCAGTTGATGTAGCAAGTGTAATATTAGTATCTAACATTAAAAGATCGCTATCCAGAGTAGTTTCATTCGTTTTGAAATTCAAAAGTAAAGAATTATTGTTTGACATATCTGGCAAAGAATATCTCTTGAAACTGGCATTGTGTTTATCTGTAGCCGATGAATTTCGTTTTAAAATTGACATAAGTTCAATTAACTGTTTTTTTACTGCGGGTATGTCTCTTTGACATAACATATGGAACCTACTATGATGATGTTGAAGAACTTTTACTTGTGATTTAAGTGATTTATTTTCTGCATAGGTAGTTGCAGTCAGTGTCGAAAGATTTGTTCTGTGATTAATAAGTTTCTTTTGCAATTCACAAGCTGGTTGCACAAGTGATTGTATTTCTTCACGGATTGCTTCATGTTCGCTTACTAAATTGTAATTTACAGCTTTTACCTCTTTTATTAAAGAAACAAGTTTCATATTTTCTTCACGAGCATCTGTCAAATCAGACAATAAACGTGAGCACTGGCAATCATTGCATTGTGTTTCTTTATTAGATGTTTCAATCTCTGACACTGAACTATTAGGAGTTATTTCATTTTCTATTGGTTGTATATGTTCTATTATTTTATTACAACAAATTGTCAGAAGACTAGGAGGTGATTTAGATTCTATATTATCCATTAAATTAAATATAGATTTCCTAATACAATTTTCTCTAGCATCAGTTTCAGCATCAAAAGTAAAATCACCATCAGTGAATTGATCATTTTCTATTTGTAAATCTTCAATGTCTTTTTTTGTCGATGAATCGAGAGTGATATAACGCGTTTTCCAATATTTTAATTTAGATTCCATGTTTTCAATGACATCAACTTTCATGTTTACATCTTCCTGAAGTGTGGTTAAGAATATTGTAGCCTTTTCTAAATCAGTTTTTAAAGATATATTTTCTGAGTGCACTTTATTTACTTCAGTGAGCAATTCTTGGTTTTTTATTTCAAAATGAGATAATTCCTTTATAAAATTAAGATTCTCTTCTTTTAGATTTCTAATTTTTATATTAGCTTCATTAACAAGTTGTTCAAAATTGTCATACTTTTCATTACTTTGAGAACTAATATGTACAGCATGATGAATTATTTTATCAAATATAAAAATGATTTGTTCATACTGGTCAATATTGTCATATTGTATTTTAATGTTTAATTTCTCTGTCATATTTAAAGCTTTTTGTAAAATGTTATTAAGTATTCGGTTTTTCCCTTCAACAGACTCATCTATTACATGTAAGTTCTTTTTTATTTCTAAAGATCTTTCTTCAATTGAATTTAATGATTCTTTTAATTGAGTTTCTAAGTTTACTATTATTGAATCTTTTTCCAGGAGTGTTTTGTCAAAATATTCTTGTTTTTCTTGTAGTGTATTTGTTATTAATATGATTTCTTTCTTATAATTATCATTTTTCTGTTCACATTCTTGGAGTAATGTATTCGTAGTAGATTGAGAAGCATTAATACTATCTTTAAGTGAAGATATCAAACTATTATTAGAGGCAATACAATTCTGAAGATTTTCATTATCTTTTGAAATACTATTGATTTTTCTCTCCAACTCTACAATTTTTTCATTTCTTGTAGTTAATTCTATGAGAGTTTTTTCAAGTTCTTCTGTTTTATGCCGTAGTCGATCTTCTAACGTCATACTGTCATTGCCTAAAATAAGAATTTGAGATTGAAGTACTGCAAGATCTTTAATATGTTTTTCATTTAAATCATCTAGTTCTTTTCGTAATTGTTCTTTGTTTATTGATTCAGTTTCTTTTTGAGATATTAGTACTGTAACCAAAGTATCCAAAATATCTAAATTTTGTGCCAGTGTACTAAAAATCTCAACGAAGTTATCAATTACTTCTGGTATCTCCACCATGTTACACGTCAATTTTTGTGAAATATTCTGTATTTTTTTCAATGCTGTTTTAGCTTTTATTAAACTATCATGTGTTTGTTCTTCATTTTTTTGGAATGATAGAATCAGATCATTTTTGTCATTTAGATCACTTTCTAAAAAAGATATTCTATTACATAAGTTCTCTATTTGTTTATTTAAATTCTCATTATTTATCCTCAATGATGAAAGCTCAGCTGTATTTTCTACGCTAAATTCTTCTAATTTAGTATTTTCATCTTTGAGATTATGTAACTCATCAGTAAGTTTATGTTTCATTTTTATTAAGTCATCCTTTTCAGATGTAAGACTTTGAATATTTACAATGTTTTTATTAATCTGTTCGTTCAAACTTATTATCTCCATTCGCAATTCCTCTTGGTTGGTATTAGATTGAGAATTTACAGGAAGCGTAGATTTTAGTGTCGCTATTTCATCATTTCGAGAGGCGAGAACGATTTTAAAAGACTGAATAATATTTTTCATGTTTTCGTTATTTGCAATAATCTTTTCCTCATTTTCAACCATTTTATCTAAAATACTATCATTAATATTAATGTTTTCCACAATGTCCTTTTTACTTAGTTTGATTTGTAATTCCTGAACTAACGAATTATACGAATCTATGTCATTGGTTGCTGCTTCTAAATGTTCTTTTTGACTTTGTATAGTAGAATTTAATGTATGTATTGTAGATTTAAGAATAGAGTTTTCATTTTCAGCATTTGTAAGTTTCTCTTTAAAATTACTGATCATTTCTTCAAGGTTTTCGCAAGTAGAATCAAGTGAAACAACTTTTTGTTTTTGTGCGATTAAATTGGCTTCTAACTCTGATATTGCTTGGGTTTTTGCAGTCAATTGGGATTGTATGTCCGTAACTAGATTTTCTATTTGTGACGACGATTCATTATCATTTGTGTTTAGTATACTGCTTTCACTGTCACTATTCACAAGAGATATATCTTTAGACATATCCATAAAAAGCGAAACTTCTTTATCAATGGTTCTTGATAGTTTACCTGTTTTAAAAAGAAAAAGCCTTAAATAGACAATAATTTCAAACTTCATTCACCACCTTCAACGGTAGATAAGTAGATAGAATAGGCACCTACTTATGTAATCTACATCATGTTACAATGTTTTTCTACATATCACAATTTATCTACTCTTCTCGCTTAGATATATTGATAATATATTTAAAATAAACAATACTCACCAATGTCTTCTCTTCGTTTAAAATTTTTTTGTTCATCCAGTAGTGACAATAGTTCATCTTCTCTTTTCTTTGTTTTATTTTTCAGGGTTTCATAAATAACTTCCAAATCTGTTAATTTGGTCATATATGCTTTATTCTGGTCTTCTATATCACACTGGAATATTTTGGCTGCATTTTATAACAATACTTTTTCGTACATTCAGGATGAAAAAAATGAACATCTTGTTACAAGTTTTGAATTCAAATTTATAGAAATATATAGTGTTATCCAATGTGAAGCTGGTTAATATTTAGGTATTACGCCATGACTTTATGTATGTTATTTTGATCATGACAGATATAGAAATTCACTAAACATAGATAATTTATGAAGATTTATTATATCTGATAGAATTAATAGGAAAAAAATATTAATACCTTTTGCCCTAAAAAATTGCACTGAACTTTACGATAATATACAAAAATATAAGCGGTTACCCATTGTTTTGAGCGAATTTACAGTTAGATTTACATATAATAATTATGTTACACATTTATCCTTGCGATGTGATATTACGGTTCAGATCACCAACCTGTATTATCATACTTATCAAATGATATTTATATACAGAATTATCTATTAAATTATTGCAAAAACCTATTATGATAAATATATGATATGTAATGGAAAGTAACTGAATTCAAAATACAGTATTAATTAGTTAGGAGCCAATTGTTAATTGACATCACAATGGTAAGCTATACGCACCAACAGTGCATAAAAAATATTACTGTTTAATGCTATGCTGTATGTATATACACTTCTTATAGGTTAATTGGTAAATAAGCATAGTATTAAGTACGTTTTTTGTACCACATATCAAAGGTCAACAAATTTTCATTCTTATATTTCACCAATACAGTACTCCATAAGTATTTCATTACTTAGTCAATAAACTAACACTTATTAAAATAAACAGACAATATTTCAATACAAAAATATTTGAGACAATAATTGAAGTACCTTGGCGGCTGCAATTTTTTTAATTTCTTCATCAGACTTGGTGACCTTTATTCTCAAATGGTCAATTTCCAGATCCTTGTCTTTGCTCTGCTTATTCAGTGAAATGATTTCATCTTCAAGTTTAGATATAACTGTTGTATTTTGTTCAAGTTTTTCTATGAGTTCTATCTGAAATTTGGAGTTCCATTACTGTACTGAGTCTATTTCATTATCAAATATACTCTTATAACGCTTAAAACGTAACAGCATATTAAAATCTTGTGTAGAAACGCGTGTAGGTCTTATGGGGTAAGTTCTTGACGTCACTACTATCGTCAAGGTGCACTGTCTCAATAATGGAATGTAATAACATACTAATTAAATAATAATGTAATTTTATTTGGAGTATAAACAATTTCACAACGTAGTAATTATTTAAGTAAGTTAATAATTTGTTTATTTATAATGTTACTCTTATTATTACATACATTAATTAAGTAATTAATGGCTTCTAACTAATGTCTAATAGGGTTTACATAAATTTAAAGTATGACAAATCAAATATATCTATAACAGGAATAAATGGAAAACAAGCTTATGGCACATTTAGTGGTAAGTGGTCACCATCCACTATATATGAGAATATGACCATGGCCATCATGTTAATATGTGTTGACCACTTCACCACACATGCGATAGCAGTCTGAAGTAGTAAGATATAATATCTCTTATTGTATAATTTTACTGCCTATCTCGCCTTTCAAGCGATACATACAAAACAAGCTGTTTGACTCAAATAGTTGAGCCTTTTTAAACAGTCATTAAATACTGTTTGTGGACACACTTGTGTTTAATGGATATTATTCTTTTTGTTTGTTTTTAAAACCTATGTTCTTTTTGAGACGCTGTAACGGACTCAAGGAACTCAGCCTGAGAAGACTTTCGGATGAAGCAGAAACAATTGTCGCGAAAGACATGAACTTAGAAATTGTGCTTCAACAATTTAACTAATAAATATGATTAAATACTGTTTAATATGTTTAAAAATTAAGATGACAATAATTCCTATAAAGGATTGTTTAAATATTTTTATATACTTACCACACTAGGAGTGTACATCTTTTCTCTTTCGGTCAGTTCAACAATATCTTTTAGGTCCTTTTCGGCTATCTTTACTTTCTTTCTCAATATACATGGTGGAGTTTTTGTTTCACCTGAAACAATTATTTGAATCATAATATAGAAGCAAGTTCCAAATAATAATTGACGATTTACACAGCGCCACCTAGTCCCGAATTAATCAGAACTTGTGTTATTGGTGCTAGATAACTGATTTTTGTAAATACATACACAATTTACGCTGATAACATCATAATCCCATCCAGACTTCTACAAATAATTACACTCATGTATGCAAATGTACATCGTGCGAGGAATCTAACCAATCAACCATCAGAAGTCAGGGCGTGTGCTAAGCCGTTAGATACCTGAGGTAGTATTAAGAGTGGAATGATATAAAAACAGGTGAAAGGTATATCTGGGAATATTTAATTTAAAATAAGATAGAAATAACAGTAAAAAAAAATAGACACTGAATAGAAGCAGTAATGGTGGTGTCATACAATCAAATCATGGTTGCAAATGTTAATATTCCAATAATAATTACCGTAACATTTGTGGTACGGGGAACAGGGTTGTACATCGATTGAGTTGTCATCGTCACTATCTGCAATAAATTATTACATTGTATAGCTTTTATATGTAGGTACTTTAGTTATTAGAAGTTTGTTATCATAATTTATTTAACATGTTTTATTTAAAATGTATTTTCAATAGTTTTTCTTTCTTTAGACGGTTCTCTACATCTATGCTACTTGTAAAGTGTTGCCAATATAAAATATTACCAATTTCAATGATATCTTCAAAGTTGACTTTCTTCTCCTGAGGTGGGGGCGTGATAAGCGTGGTCTCCTCTGGTACGGTGCATAACTTGCTGGCATTCTGAATAGGTACAAAATCTATAGCGCCCGGCAGCGACATTGGACTGTAAATAGTAATTAGTAAATTTAGCAAACAGTTACAGCTTTAAGTATGAGCAAAATTATGAGGCAATGGACTAACAAATTTTTTTTTAATTTCCTACCCATATTTTTTATTTAAACATTCTTAAAGAAAATTTAAGTGTTCTGTATCAGTGTGAGTGTTCTCTCTTTTTCATTAATGGTATTAGAAACTACATATTGTATTCGTAGGGGACTAAAAATAGGACAGATTTATATTTCTTTTTATCAACATCAACAGTTATCGCAGAATGGCTATGTTTAAGTGTTATGCTTTTGGCTTTAAATATGAAACTGACCCAATACATTCTTAATGGCACAATACTATTATAATTAAATACAAGACTTTGTATCTATTCAATAATGTAGGACAATGATATATATTAGAAATAAAACCTATACATTGTATGTACATTGTGGTGCCACAGTTATAAGATTTAATAAAGCTCATGTTTTAAACTTATACTTACTTGTACTTCAAACCAGGAGTACAAAATTTCGGTATAGTGACAGGGTCCTCATTAACGTCATGTAGTGTTGATATAGTGACTCTACGGAGTTGGTTATTTTTTCGTCGCGCCCCCATCATATCCATGCTGCTCCTCTGTCCGAATCCATTTAATATCAATCGCTGCAGATTTGCTATTTGTTTTTGTAAGTTCTGGTTGTCTTGCTATAACAAAATATAAGAAAGAATAGTAATGTATTGCAGTATTCACACATTTTAAATGTTTTGAACAGAATATTCTAATTCTATTATTTAACTAGCTGTATTATGTGTATTTAAGTAATGAGACATTGTCCCTGTGCAGAAGAATAAAGTCTGAATAAAGTCCATATTAAATAATAAAAATATAAGCATGACTAAATAGCATTAATAAATCTTTAAACATAATTTCTCTTTCAATTTAAAAGGGTCCCCAAGTATTCTCATCAGCTAATATGTAATAACAAATATAAGGGCTGTTAAAAAATAAAATATGAATTATAAAATAAATTGAGTAATACTTACTAAATGAAAGAGTATTCATTGTAGCACAGATTACCACAATGAAAGTGTTCAATGAGACCTGTCTTTTTGAAAGGTGAAGAGGAAGATATTATGATAATGATCACTGAATAAACAAGGAATGGATAACAACTGCTGCATTTTCACATACAACAACTATTCACATTTATTACTAATGAAAATCCCATATACCTAAGTGCAGTAATTTTACAACTCACCTCAACATTTTTTTTGCTTTCAAGCATAACCTCCAAGTTCTTTTTGCTCTCCAACTGAGATTGTAACCTAGACAGCTGTTTAGTGAGACTCTGTATCATCGTAGCGTTCGTCGCCACCGCATTCACTTCAGGCTTGTTCTTTATTGCTTTTGCTCGATTTGCAAATCTGTAAAATGTATAATTTCTGTATTAATAACATATATATGGTATTGTTACACAGGGACACTAAGTCATAGGCAATGATACGAGAATTATGTTTTTAATTATTATTTCTATAAATTCTTAGTGAAACATATCCAAATTATGCCCAATCCTTGATTGCTAATAATTCACCACCTGGAATGTTGCCTAGGACCCACTTTAGCTTTAGTCCGCCACTGGGTGCAAAATATTTACTGTGAATTGTGTTTTTTTTTATATATTGTATACCTTTTATAATATAGTATAAAATAATATTTTCAATCAATGCACACTTGAATGGTTTAATGAAACATACTTTTAAATTATTTCGCAATTATAAAATTAAAATATTCACTATTGTGATTGAAATTTAAATCCTTATTAAATAACAATTTAAACAAAATCATTATAATAACACATTGTTTTTGTAGGAGTGTGTAGGTAAAATATTTAATATATATAACTTCAATTAACTTTTGCTAATGTTTTAGATTAGATAGATTTATGAAGTGAAACTAATCTACATAGATTAATGAAGTAGAATTTACATTACTATAGAAACATAATAATATTTAAAATACAAACTGTAGAGTTGAGATGGTCTCGTCAATGGCAGCCGGAGTTATGGCACATATGATACTAGTCTTGGCATTGCCTCCTAAAGAATTTTGAAGTATTCGAGTCAACTTGCTGTCACGGTAATTGGCGTGTCTGTAAATGGCATTACTTTTATTAGAAAACAAACAGAAAACACATGCATAAAGCTTAGTTTCTATATGTACAGCATTCATAAATAAATAATAGCTGAAAAAAAAATACAGAAAGGGCAAGTAAAAATACAACCAATATATGTACGAATTGTAGCACATGGTTTGTATTGGCATGGGATTTTTTTATAGTATATATTAATAAAAATAAATGCATTTTTTATTTTATAGTTGTCCATTGTATAAACTACTATGTGGTGTGTAAATAGTGTAGGGTTTTTTTGTATCTGCTTTATACAATTTTGATATTCCATTAAGTGTAACAAGCATTGGGGAGAGCATGGCTGGCTACTTTAGTCCCAGTTCTACACACACAAATGTGAACCTAAAAGTAGGTGTACATTATCATGTTTAACTTCGATAGCACATGCTGACAACATCTTTTAATGGGTGCATTTTTGCTACGCCCTAACGAGCCGTGGGGTGGGAACTTGTGAGTCCCCTTTAAATAAACACAAAAGTGTAAGAGTTTCATTATTTCAACAATATAACTTACTTATTAGGATCTTCAGACAACTGTTTGATGACTAATGCTAATGTAGATAATGACTTGTTAATGTGTGTGCCTTCTTTGAACCTGATGCCAGTGGCACCAGTCTGCCCAGCACGCTCTGAGCCCGCTAGGTCCACTAGATTTAATTTTGAGACATTGACGCAACCTGCTTCGTCTTCACCTTCTATGTGGTCACGAGATTCTATTATCTGATAAAAAAAATACAGGGTAACGAGTAATAACATTTAGAAATGACAAATTATAATTTTTAAACGGACATAAAATCTTCAGGAATATTTGTTATAATGCTTAGCCTATGAATTTTCGTAACTTTACAATATGATTGACATAATTTATAAGGTATGTTAATTATATTGAAAAGTAATAAAAGAATATTGAAAAGTTATATTGAAAAGTAGTAAATGAAAACAATACACCCAGTATTGTATACACTGGTGCCAGCCGTTTACTAATGACTTATGCCCAGTTGGATTGACAATACATATGCATGAGCTGTGACAATGGATCAATAATGCATCTATGGTGTTGTTTATGTCTTTTTTACATTTTCATTATGGGTTCAGTGGAAAAAGGATGTGTCTGTTACCACAGTTCTTAATAGTTAACAGGGTATATTGCTAGGAAGGGACTGAATAGAACCCAATTTTAACAAACCCTTCCTCAAAATATTTTTAATATACAGAGTGCAGATGATTACCCCATTCTGTCAATTACAAAAATACAAAATATTAATAAATTACTTACAATTTGGAAAATAGAATGTGATCTGCTGCTCTCTTCATTCATGTTGGTTGCACCAGTTTGTCTATTACATTCACCCTGAAATTATAAATAAAAGTATATAATAACAATTTGTAACACAAATGTGTTTAAACAAATTGACAGACATTAGCTTAAATCCAAAGACAAATGTCTAGGAACTGGCAAATTATAGTACTATAGTATTTTTCTATTAAAAGCATGTAAGAAATGTTATGATTTATTATTATAATTAAGTTGTATACCTAAGATTTTAATTCTTCAAATTATATTTAAAAAAAAATTAAGTATATGTCCACATTATTACATTCAGTATAATTTAAAAAGTACATTAAAGAGTAATAAATTATAGTATATCTAAATGTTTATAGTGATTTTAGTACACATATTATATAACCACATTATGTTAAAAATATTACCTCTTTCAAGTACTTGAGTACCTCTTCAGGTGAGGTACTAACTTTCTCTGTGACATCAACTTTGATGCCATCAAATGATTCATGAACTTTTATATTTTTCTTTTCAATATTCAGAAGATCTTTTAATGTTTCATTATAAATTTCTATGTATGACACTCTGGAATATCAAATTTATACAATACCATTAATATAACATAACAGAAATAAATAGTAATTTAGTATATGTTAAATAAAAGACTGTGTCTGCTTGAACATTTACTTATGAACTAACACAATGTCATGGTAATATTATTCTACATCCTATGTTTATATTAGGAACTGAAGGGAACCATTCAGTTCAGTATACATAGCATAATAATATCTTATACTAATATTTAGCCACCATATAAATATTGTGTGGGTGGTTAGACTTACTATTTGTGTAATTTCATAAGGACCTCTCTCTTGGGTACAAATTTAGTGGTAATTACTTGAGACCATTTGCTAAGTACATGAGACTTTAATAAATTTTCTCATCAACTTTCTCATCAACCTGATAAGTTTCAGCAACGTGATGAGATTTTTCACAGGCGACTATTGGATGCAACAAAAACTTTGTCAATATTTATTATTATAAACACTAATTTCACTGGCAGAGGGAATATTACTATTATTTTTTTTGGAAACACCTTGTTACATAGCTAATAACTTAGGACTCTGCTCTCCTTTAAATGTCCATAGTCTTTACAGTAGGTACATATGCATAGTTGCGTACTGCATGTCGTAGCCGTGGCCGGCCATGGCATGGCTAACAAAACAGTGTCAATGTCAAAAGTGTTTTCCGAATACTTTCACATATTCTCATTAAAATTTCGAAACTTAATATCTCAAAAACTACTACTTTCCGCAATTTGAAATTTTAGGAGTAGACTAACAAAAATATGATCAATCAAATATAAAATTTTCAAATCTCAAATCGATTGTATAGATTGTACAGTTGAGCCTTACGTTTTATTAAGATTTCTAAATATAAATTTCTATACAGAAAAGTCTAAATTCTTTATAATAAATCACAAAGTTATGATCTATTACGCAATCCAATTATGCATCAGTTAAGATGAGATAGGCAAAATTATTGCATTACTACACCCACGCAAACAACATTTTTAGAGTTCTACCTACTCATCTCATATTTACATAATGACATAATGTTTTTCTAGTTGACTAAACAGTACAAGAGTGTTTTGAATGCATTATTTTTATATTTAAAATTGTAGATGTCAATTTAGCATTACAGAGAAATGTTTACTTAACTTTCATGTTCATTATTACATATATAATTAAATAGAGACAACACTTTCTGTTTATACCCAATGGTTGGCTGGTAGATGTAGTACAGCATTAAGAATAAATAAATAATATATGGGGTATGGAGGCATTACAATTTCCTCATTACTTATTGTGTACTACGTGTGTCACTTCATAATGATATATATCCGCTGTTCATGTATAAGGCAACAGTTACTATTTACCATTTAATCGGATGTCATCTTTCTTACTTACTTAAATTTAGTTAAATTGAAAAACCTATGTATATGTAGTTCTATAAAAATTGGCTAGTTACCTTACTAAAAAATCTCGATTAGGGATATTTTTTATTATTTCAAATAAATTATATACAGCAAGCGGAATTATTCCGGGTGATGTTTCTGTGCCCGTCATAGTATATGTCTTCCCGGAGGATGTTTGTCCATATGCAAAAATAGTGCCATTAAAGCCCGCCGTCGCTGCCTCCACAATTGGTTTTGCAATGTCATTGTAAACATCAGTGGTTTTACTTTCCTTGTCATAAACTTGATCTGCAAGAATTTAATACATTTTTCACTTTGCGTAGTAAACGACCTTTAGTTTATGACGTAGTTAAACGGGCAGTTCATTAGAATCACAATACTTTCTATTACTTTACTAATAAGCAAGTTAAAGTTTTACTCACCAAAAGTGAATGATGGTCCACAATCTCTTCCTGTCTGATCGAGCTGGTATAATGTATCGTTTTTTACGCGCCATTGATAAGATTGTTTCTCCTCAACTTCGCGAGAAATTAGAGGTCTCACTTTGACAACTACTTTTATATTGTCACTCATGTTTTCTCACATTTGTATTAATTCACTGAGACGTGTATTCTGAGATTCTTCACAGGTAACATTTTATTAAATTGCAGCGTCAGTAATATTATTTGTATAGAGTGAAACTATAACGTAAACATGTAGTCGGCATGAAACAAAAATAACCGACGATTTTAAAATAGAAGAAAAGTGGAGACCACAGATTAAATGATGGTGGTGTGTTCTTTTTTTAAAATGTTGCAAGTGTTGCAATTACAAAATAGAACTTATGGAAATTCAGAAGAAATTCGATATGTATTGCATTTTACTTTTAGTAATTGTAAGCTTTTTTAGCAAGTTATTGTTACACAATAATAATGTCATATACTGTAAAAGTAACCGGTATGTATAATTTTTATATACTTGTAACACAAAATCATTATACGATTTTTTTGTTTATTTTTAATTCATAAATCTAGAATAAAAAAATATAGGTATATTTGGGTACGGAGAGAAACACGGGCGGTGAATCCATTATTAATTCCTTAAACCTATAAGTGTCCCGGTAAGAAGTTCGTCTCACTTTCATAAGATACAACATTTCCATTAACATCAGTCTAAAATATATTTAATAATACATTACTTAATGAACTTTGAAGTTGTCAAATATCTTATATTTGACTAACTACCAACCCCGGCTTCACACGGATGTATAAGTATTATACATATAAAACTTCCTCTTGAATCACTCTATCAATTTAAAAAAACCGCCTAAAATTCCATTGCGTAGTTTTATAGATTTAACATACATAGGGACGGACGGCGTACATAGGGACGGACAGACAGCGACCGCGACTTTTTTTTATACCATGTAATAATGATGATTTAGTTTTCATTACTACTTAAATTATTTATTTCTATATATAATATATTTAAATAAATAATTTAAGTTATGTAGATAAACATTAATTCTATATATATAATAAACAAAACAACTGGATTTAGTAAATGATACAGCAATGATGATAATATAATGAATACGTTTGTTATATTCATATTTTATTATTGATTAATTATATCATTTATTATTGATCGTATACACAAAACGTACGTAATATACAAACGTAATGTAATTTTAAAATATTAATTAATATAATTTATTATAAACATAATTAGGTTTAATATTATAATCCAAATAAGAGTAAAGTTTATTTCCATTGTGTTACAATCGTCCTTTCTAGGATTAAATTTTCACTTCTAACTTAATTTGTAAACTCTACCCCTAGTGTAACTTGCTCTGTGATTGTACTGTCAACGTCAGGTGACATTTCAATAAATTTATTAAAAATAATACAGATAATTTTGCCATTGCGATTTTAAACAAAACACGTGTTATTTATGTTTATAAAACTTTGTATAAAAAGTTATTATTAAAAATGCAACACGATGATGTAAGTATTATTAGAACGTATTAATAAATACTGTTGTAAATACTAATAATACATTTTTGTTTTTAATTTTGTGTTCTAGGTTGTATGGGCAATTATCAACAAGAGACACTGTTCACATAAAGTAACGTAAGTGTCCATTTGGAAGTCACAAATAAGGTGCCATTAAATAAAAATGTCTAATTTCACATACACATTACATAAATGTTTCAGCACTAAGACTCAACAATTCTGTCGCAATGAATATAACCTAACCGGATTGTGCAGTAGAGCTTCTTGCCCACTTGCTAACAGCAAATATGCAACTATTAAAGAAGAAAATGGTATCATATATTTGTATATGAAGACAGCTGAAAGGTTAGTAGTTATATGCATTTTATTTATGTAATCGTATTATGAGAATAATAGGATTAATAAATTAGAACAGGAAATCGACTAGAAACAACCACAAACATACTATTGCTGACTGTTGCTATTGAGCCCCCAATAACAACTTTCCATCACTTTTAATTTAAGAACCACAGTATTGTTGGTGGAGATCTTGTTACTTTCTACAATAAACCATCTTAAGAACATGAATCTGTGTAAGTATTTTAGGAGATAATTATGTGATTTTCAAATTATCCAACCTATATTCTGGACAACCAATCATATTACATATGTCTTTGAAATCATGATAAGAATACCACACTTCAGGCCAACATGTGATAAGTGTGAACTGTGAAGTAATAATAATGAATTCTGAATTCTATCACCAGCAAATCTTTAACATTATTAAATTACTTTTAATGAGACCTTACAACCAGGTGCTGTGTACAAATACAATTCAAATTTGAATGTAGTTCCTGGTTGTTCATTATCTGATGATGTAGATAGATTTTATCAACCACAGAGGTTGTCTTTGTAATTTTTATTAAGTAGATAAAGTTGTGGGTAACAGCTAGTACAACTTATATGTAAATGTCTATACTTATTATTATTTTTAGAGTAATGTTTCCAGCCAAACAGTGGGAAAAAGTGAAATTATCACGTAATTTTGAGAAGGCAATATATCAAATTAATGAGAATCTCCTGTACTGGCCCGCATTCATAAAAGCAAAATGTAAGCAGAGATTTGTCAAAATAACACAATATCTGATACGGATGAGAAAACTAAAATTGAGAAGAGTGTAAGTATTTAATTTTAATATAACTAGTCTAAGTAAGGCGACAATAAATATGTAGAAATATGAAATGACCAAAGTATAATTACAAATGCCAATGCTTACTACTTATTCATGACTGAGAATGAATATAAATATCACCAGAGAAATCAAATTATTGAAAGGGTTATCCAGTATTTTAAGTCGCTTGTGTATTATTCCAGTAAAGAGTTAGTTCCAATACAACGCAAGATAGAACGGCGCGAGAGAAGAAGAGAAGAGAAAGCATTGGTAGCTGCAAGAATAGATAATGCAATAGAAAAACAACTTCTAGAAAGGTTAAAGAAGGGCACTGTAAGTATTGTATAACATTAAGTTAAGAATGAATATATATTTTTATACCAGCAATTGGACACACGCAATAGTAAAGGTCTCCACCTAAAATTGGTGAGAGATGGAGAAAAGATCTATCTCTTCTCCAGTCTCACATGTTCTTTTACAGCAAAGGCTGTGCACAAGTTCAATATATGCTTGTATATGATTTACTTATCTTCGGTGAACATTATGAGGTGAATCTTCTGTCTGAGGCACTTATATATTTTATACCACCCACCTTGATCAGAAAAATGATATGGTGCCAAACACAGGTGAAATTAAAGGGGAATTTTTTTCTTATAATTCTGATTGTAACAATGAGTCTATCTAAAGTCTCTGAGTATAGCAGGAACTTCAGGTGTTGAGTTGTGTTGTTTGCTAAAAGGACATTCCTTCTCTACAAATGAGTGGAACAAGAGGGTTTTTGAACACTTCTTTTTGTCATATTTTTTATACAAATCATTAAGCCTTATGCTAATTTACAGCTTCAAGTGCTACAAATTTTTTACAAAAATCTGTGTGCATCATAAATAAATAGTTATAAAAATTGGCATTATTTTGTAACACATTCTTTAACCTAGAGTTAATATCTATAAGCATATTAATTATTATTGTATTAATATGATTGTTACTGGTTGGAAGAGTTATAATAACCTCATCATTATGTCTATTTTTCATCTACATTGTTAGTTTCTCTCTCTTGACTATTTAAATCATATATTGGATACTTATTTACAGTACAATGACATATACAACTTTCCTCAAATGGCATTTGATGCTGCACTCAAAGCAGAAGAGATATCAGGTGAAAGTGAGAGTGAGAAAGAAGATGAAGATGAAGTCGAAGTTGAGATGGAGATGGAACCAGAACTGGAAAAGGAATTGGAAAAAGCTGTGGAAGACACCAATGAATTTGTAGAAGCCGACAGTGATATGGATACTGATGAGGTATTTCTTGAAAAATTAATTCCTTCTTCTAAAGTTCTAGTCAGAAATCTAAGTTAAACTAAATTTAGCAATTACTAATATCATGATAACAATATTAGTTTACCTAAAACCAAATTTAATTTACCTAAAACAATAATTGCGACAGATATGTCTTGATTAATTAATTAGACCCAGGCATGTGGATGTAGTGTGATGCGTGAAAAACTTAATTTGATATTTAAGTTTTCACCCATGCATTGTTAACATGACTACATCTTAGTCAGTTAGTTGTGCTTTTCCAAGGAAACAAGCATCTCTTAAATATGACTTCTCAATTTTTAATTGTCTTAATGCAGTTCATTATTGGGCTTACAAATTGTTTGTAACAAAAAGGATTTAAAATTATTTTCAGTTAACTATAATGACTACTGATATTCTTTCTTATTATAAATGCGGACGTTTGTGAGTGTGGAATGAGTGTGTGAAAGTGTAACAAATATCCATTCATCTATTAGCAATGGATGGATGTTTGTTACTCATCCAAACAAAAACTACTGAATGGATTTTAAAGAAACTTTACAATAATATAGTTTATTCATCAGAATAACACATAGACAATAAATATTAAGCGGGTGAAATCGCAGGCACAGTGAGGTACTAATACATTTATTTTTTCTATTTACAGGAGAGTGATTCTGGTAGAAAAGAAAATGTAGATGTTGCAAGTGATTTTGAGTCAGACACATCTGATATTGAGGTTTGTGTTTATTCTACAGAAATTAAATTATATTTATTCTTATATCTACAATGTTATTTTCAGTAAAGCTTTATAAGCGCTTACTGAAAAAAAATGTCTACGTGACTAACTATATAGCTGACGATGTGTGATGACTGTTTATGATTTACTATTCCAATTTCTCAGTAGAATTTAGAATATATAATAATAATAATAAAACAGTATGCTAATATTCTGTATTTTTTCAGGACGTCGCCCAAAAGATTGTGAGCAGAAAGAAGCCACGTGTAGAAATTGAATATGAAACAGAAACTGTGGGAAACCTGTCTAAAAAGAAAATAAAGCGCTAATGTTTATGTGAATGTGCATTTTAATTAGCAAATAAATTCAATTACCTGTTAAAAGGAAAAGAGTTATTAAAATACACAATTGATATTTTTTAGCTAGGCTAGCTGAATATTGTACCTACTACCTTAGTACTAATAAATGATGTTTTATTTATTTATAACACTTTATTCCACCAATATTGAAAGGACATGAAGAAAATTAAAACATTAAAAATAAATCTAAGTAATTTTGTATTTGGTTTTATCGCTAATGCATCTTCTAGAGAATCTGGATTAAGCCAGCCTTATAACAATTTATTTCAAGAGGCTTATAGTTTGATTAATTTTCTTACGTTTAGGTTTTAGAAAAAAGATAGCAATCACATATTTTACTCGATTTAGAGTAGTGTAGGCCAGAAATTGAAAACATAGATTAAAAAATATTTTATATTATTATTTCATTTTTTGTGTTATGTTTATACGGGAGTAAGTGAGCACAGCTCGTAATATTTGCTACTCTTGCTATTATGCTAATACGGTAGTAACAGAGAGTACTGGGAAGCAAAAACTTATGCTACTAACACCCAATGGTGTTAGTAGCAGTCTAGCAATCTAGTATATTGCTAGTACCACAGATAACATAATCTAGTACTATGTCAGGTTGATCTCGATGCGATTCTCCCTGTAAATTGCCATTTGCCAAGATGAGCTAACTGACCTGACTTCATACTCATTTTATTGTCGGTGCAGGCGGCATTATTCCACTATCCATAAAAAAAAACAACATATTTCGTCTTGTACCATACAGGTGAAATTACGATTACATTATTCATCAAAGAAACCTGTCTAGCAATTTACCAAATTAATCGAAATTAGGTATGGTTCCAAAGCATGGGCCAGGGCAAGGTTGAGCTTAATAATTATATATTTAATGGATGAAGTGCACCATACCATTATCGCCCGGTAAAATATTTGTACCTTAGATGATGTACGAAAGGTATATTAAACTTTGCGATTTATGCAAAGTAAATCCCATTATGACTCGTGTAAGTGTTATATGTATAGATATCCAGGTAAGTATGTACGGAAAGAATGGATGCGTGGTGACTGTAGGTACGCGACAAGCGCCGCTGTTATTGCTGTCATAACTTGTGTTATGGCGCCGTTCTGTTTGCCACGTTACAATATTGTTTACTGTTAGATGCGTGCCGTAAAAATATATCCAGCGATTTGTTGCTAGGGCTGCCATAATATTTTACCTTTCCAATCATCATTTTTTGCAGTTATTTTTCAGAGTAATATGGTGGTCGTGTTCATATATGTATTTATATATTTTTATACTAATTCTGTAGTCGAGCAACGTAAGTATAGATAGGTAGGTAAACTAGAAAACTAATTTTTATATTAATGATAATTGATTGTTGTATATTTTTTTAATTAACTGGAATGAATGGTAAATAGCAGCACTCAAAGACATCATGTTATCATGCGATGCTCGTGTAATTTATTTGCTTTGCCGTTCAGAAGGATTGCACTCATAATAATAATAATCATTTCTTCAGCATCACAGTACAAAGTAAAAATATAATAAATTTAAAAAACAATATTTCGTTATGAGCTGAAAGGCCCTCCATTCAGCTGGTGCCGCTGTGTGTCACTGCAGCGCTGATTTTCAGTGAAGCCACTGGGAAAAAAGAATTAGCATTTTTGATATATATTATACTAGCTGTACCCGCGACTTCGTCCGCGTAAAATAGTGACCTTGAGCAAATAATAAAAAATATATATTAATAATCTAACACAATAAAAAAGTTTCATCGTTCTAGCTTCAAAAATGAAATTTCCATACATAATTCCATACAATTCAATCAACAGCCAAAAACTAAGTTTCAAACTACTATCTTTAAAATGAAGATACTTCCATACATACCATACATACATTACATCTCCCCTTTCAACCCCTTATAACCCTTTTTCTTGTTTTTTTAATGCTACTTATATTAGTGTCATCATGTACCAATGATAAGATGTCGCTATACTGTAACCATTTATGGCTGAGGCCTGTGGCGGTAGGTACTGATATTTTCTCAACAGCCTAAAAAATGGGTTTCAAGTTTCTAGCTTTAAAAAATGACAATACATGCATACAACATTTTAACTCCCCTTTTGACCCTTACAACCCATTTTCGTTAATTATATTTAATCAATACGCAAAAAAATAAGATTGAAGCTTAAACTTTTAAAAAATTCCTTTTCAGTCTCTTATAACCCTTTTTAGCATTAAAAAGTAACCTAATGTAACCGATCTCAAGATCTAGACTTTAAATTTCATTTAAATCAGTTCAGAAGTTTTCACTCCAATAAATTGAAACAAAGATAACAATGTTACGATTAAGTTTGTCCTGATTGTGACATTTTAAAAAATTATATCACTCGCTTTTAAGACAGACAGACAGAGTCACTTTCACTTTCATAATATTAGTAAGGTATTTATTAAATAAACTGACCCAAAAAAGCGTAAGAAAAAAGCTTCATCGTTCTAGCTTCAAATATGACGAATTTCCATAAAAACTTTTATCTGCTATTTTATTTTACCCCTTGAATGGTGACAATGTGATATTTACAAATTTAAATGTCATATTTATTTATATTTAATAAACAGTTTAAACATTTCTTTAAATTCTTTTGAAAATTGGTGGTCCAGTTGGCCAATAACATAATAAAATTTTGTTAAATCAAAATAATGGATGTGATATTCTAAATTGCAAACTATCCCTCTACTTGCGCGAACCATATCTCTGACCCTACTGGCCAGAATGGAGAAACGCGTATTCCAAAGAACCTGAATAGCTCGGATGGAACGGTAGATGTTGTTTTTTCCAAGGAAATGTTGTTCATATGTATTGACAACATTTTTAATATTATATGTTGTTATTCTTCAAAAATATTAATAATATGTTCTTACGCTCTTGTCCAAGAGCAGGGTCATCAGTTATAGGCTATACCAGGATTATATTTATGTATTTATAAAATAAAATTGCAGAGCAAACGTTTATTCATTTAAATTCATAAGGAGACAACAGATTGACAATAATCATTTGCGCGCGCAACTTACTTATACAAATGACATATATGTTTATTTATGACATATGAGCGTTACTAAGTCGCATATCTAGTACAATACTGGTGTAATTCAGAAATTAAAAATTATTGAAAATAGACTTAATAACACAATTATAAAGTAGACTTTCCAAAATATCTAATTTTTTGTTAAGCCATTATTATAATAAGTGTGTATTCAACCGCATAAAGATAACCTTGCATTACCATTTTCAACCCTTTACAACCCTTTTTTTTGCATTAAAAAGTATATACCTATGTCCTTCCTCGGCGTCTAGACTATATGGGTACCAAATTTCATTTAAATCAGTTCAGTAGTTTTGGCGTGAAAGCGAGACAGACAGACAGACAGACAGACAGACAGACAGAGTTACTTTCGCATTTATAATATTAGTAAGGATTATTCCTTTTATGTAATTTTCTTGACTCTGTAATTTCACTGTTTTACCTCACTTTTCAATCGAAATATGGCTGTAAAAAATAAAGAGCTTCGTGGGTGATACAAGTACCTACCGTACGTACAGAGGGTACGCGAACGAATTTTTGAAGTATTTTTTATTTTTATTTGTATAGGAGAAGATACGCTGTTCTCATTTTTAAATGAATAATAATGGTGATATTTAATATTTTTTACAATAGAGAAAGATAGTCTTTAATAAATCTCAATCCCGTGCAGTACAATTACGATTTTTTCTTTCGAGAATTTAGATTGATCCATGTTCATTCCACGCAGTTATATAACGCTTCTATAGAAGTTAAATATATATGTTTTCTTAGCGAATGGGTACGACATAAAAGAAGACTATATCCCACCACATAATTACCTAAATAAAAAAATTTAAATACGAGTTACCATCATTGATTCATATTTCTTCGATCGGTACTACTACAGTACTACAATTAATTATACTATAGATATACATACTACATAATATCCAAATAATTATTGGAATGTTTGGCCAACCCTTATATATGTAACCTTGACTTTATTTGCTTGGTGAGTTATGTCTATATCTTTATTAAGAGGTACGGGAAGCTGATAGCATTATTGCTCGAAATAGTGGAATAGGTAGATATCTAAACTTGTATGTAAGTATCTCTGTAAAATCTTTTTATTCTAAGAAATACCGTATCTAGGTACTTAATATTAATTAAAATAATATAAATAAATAATAAAAAAATATACTATCTTCTTGAGTTACTGTGCCAAATATTTTCCAATAAGCATTAATCATTATAAAAATAATCATAAAATTTTTAGCTGCATACTGCTAAATTAATTTCAAAGTACAAAGAACACGACAGAATTCAAACTTTAAGTTATTCATAGTCTTGACAGTAAATTGGAGTACCTACAGTCGTGGTTCGGATAATTGTTCGTATTTCTGTAGATAATCCAATTAGCTTAATGAACGACGAGATATTTTCACTTTTAATCAATCCCGTATTGTTCACTGATTTTATTGTTTGAGTATTATACCAATACTTAGCTAATGAAATGGAAAACGTAAATTGGACATTCACTGAAATCGATGTGCTCAGAATAAATGTCTCGAAACAAAGATAACAATGTTACGACTTGTTAGCGATACTCGATAAGTTTGTCCTGATTGTGATTCTATTTATAAAGTTTAAATTATATCACTCCTAATAATTTACAATTAATATTCAAAAATCGTTTTGAGGCAATATTCATGAATTTATATTTTTTTTCTGCAGAATCATGAAATAGTTAATTATTATCTTAGTATTGATTTGAAAGAAATTATACAGCTTAGTTCGATTTGGATGTCTGGTAACAAAACAAACAGTAGATGCGTATGCATTTAAGTACAGAACAAATTTATATATCTTTTTTAAAAAAGGATGTTGCCACAAAGAAAGCGACATATATTACTTTAATAAAACAAAAAAGG